CACCCAAGGGACAAGCCAACTCAGGCTAAGCTTCTGGCTTTCCAAGAAGAAATTGCCGACATTCTCAAGGCACAAAAGATTGAGACCCACACAGTCTGGCATCATTACAAGGTCAATGGATGCCCAAGAAAGGTCATCAGTGCAGAAGGGTTCACAATCGATATTACTGACACTGTTGTTGCCGATGAAGTTGAAGCCCAAACAGGCGACAGACCTCTGAGGTGCATACTCTCAAAGAACACGATTGATTCTGATCCAGAAACTACATGGATAATCTCTCTGCCCAGTGCAGCAAGGAAACCATTTACGCTTTTTGCCCACTCAATGACCTCAAGGCATATTCAACACACCCCCAAGGTTCACCAGTGTGCAAGCTGCTTCAGATACCATGGTAGGAATTACCGATGCGAAAAGCAAGTATGTGCACACTGCGCCAACACAGTACACCAGGGAGAGTGCGAAAAACCAATCCCAAAGTGTGTCAACTGCAAAGGACCTCATGCTGCCAACTTCGACAAATGCCCTGCCCGCCCCAAGGTTGTGAAAGGTACCATCCATAAGCACACATGGGAGCAAATCCAGGAAATAAGGCTAGCCGGAGAAAGAGCCAGATCCAAGGCCTTCAACGAAGCAGGCAGAAACCAAGCTGGGTCAACACCTAGCAATAATAACAAAGACACCACAATGCAAATCGACACAACAGATACAACTCATCCCAGAGATGCCGATACCATTGTTGTCAGTCAATGTTAGGTACACCGAACGAAACACATCGACACGGGCATCTAGTCATCCATTCTGTGAACACAGCAGGAGGACAAAAGAGTGCAGGCCCTACAGAGTTAGCCATCAACCTGGCTGACTATAAAGGAGAACAAGCAGACATCATTCTGATGCAAGAGCCCTGGGTTGGCATACCACCAGGCAGGAGAATGGGAGTAAAGACACACCCCAATTACGATATATACTCCCCAGTGGATTCCTGGGACAGCGACAGTACACGGCCCAGATCTCTCATCTATGTGAGAAAATACCTTCAAGCGGATCAACTTCGGCCCTATGCTACACGAGACATCACCTGGGTCAAGGTACAAGGCATTACATTTGCCAGTGTCTACCGGCCATGTGACAACCCACAGGAAGTGGATGACATTCTGGAAGTATGGACTCCACCTTTTGGCTGCGTTATAGCTGGAGATTTCAATGCTAGCGACACATCCTGGGACTCAAGCAATCCAGGATATCATGGTGGTGCTATACTTGCACAAACTATGGCAGACTATGGACTGGATCTGATTTCTGAACCAGATGTCCCGACACATGATGACGGAAATGTACTAGATCTGGTGTTCTCTGATGTCCCCATGGCTGAAGCCTCAGTCAATGATGCACTTCAGTGCACCTCAGACCATGAGACATTACGAATAGTCATTCCAATCCAGGGAGATCTGGACCGAGTACCCAAGGCCAATCATTGGATAGTACCGGACGATAAACTACAGGAGCTGGCAGATAATGTCCAAACCAGGATTCATGAACTCCCCCAGCTGGGTGCATCCCCTGGCCAGGTGGACACCTTTACACAAAGCCTGATCAACATGATCCAAGGCTGTATTAGGACAGTGGGCAAGAGGCCCCGTCAATCTAGGCCCACTGCTTGGTGGAATGATGACTGCAAAGCAGCTGTTCAGACATACAGGGCCCTTTCCAAACAGACTACAAGCCACGAAGGACGGAATTCAGCCCGACGGGAATTTCGCGGCGTGGTTCGGAAAGCTAGGAGAGAGTACTGGCAGACTCTAATCAATTCAGCAACTGAGCCAAAGGACCTATACAGAATCGTCTCTTGGCACAAGTTATCAGCAGGATTGCGTTCCCCTCCAATCATCATAGGAGACCAAATATTCGAGTCACAAGAGAGCAAGGCAAATGCATTACGCTCAGCCACGCTTGAACGAAGTACCTCAGACAACGATATCATCGACCCCTGGTCCGCTCAGATCATACAACCCAAGCCATACATCCCCCTTGAATACCACGTCGGACTGGAAGAGGCTGAAGGGTGCACTTTAGGAACCAAGAGCAACTCCCCGGGAGTAGATACCCTCACAGTACGGATTCTGAAAGCTTGCTGGCCAGTCATTGGTGAACATATCAGAGCCCTTTTCCAGACCTGCCTACTGATTGGACACCACCCTAAACCATTCAAAGTAGCTGAGGTGGTGATGATCCCAAAACCAGGAAAGAAAGACTACTCCAATCCCAGGGCCTACAGACCAATATCGCTACTGTCATGTCTTGGCAAAGGCCTAGAACGACTCATTGCGAAAAGAATTACCTGGTTTGTTGTCAAACTTGGAATTCTAGCCCCACAACATTTTGGAGCTCTACCAAAGCGCTCTGCCACTGACCTGGTAGCTGCACTCATACACGATATTGAGCAGGCCCTTGACCAAGGCCTCGTTGCAACGGTAGTCACATCAGATGTGAAAGGGGCCTTTGATGCTGCCCTAATGGGACGGCTGGTGGTTCGCATGAGAGAACAGGGCTGGCCAGGCTTTCTCATAAGATGGGTCCAGTCGTTCATGTCCGAGCGGTCCGCAAGAGTTCGGTTTGAAGGTACTGTGACCGATATAAAAGCTCTCACTTGTGGGCTCCCACAAGGCTCACCAGTCTCTCCAATCCTCTACATGCTGTATACAGAGCCAATCTGTGCCCGACTTGGCATGAAAAGAAGACGCTTTGGATATGCAGATGACCTAGCAACACTCTGCATTGGAAAGAACCTTGAAGAAACAGCTACAGAGGCTTCTGAAAACCTTCATTTACTCAACCAATGGGGACATAACAATGCTATTGAATTTGATCCCGACAAAACCGAGATCATGCACTTCTCACGCAAAAAGAACTCAGACAATCCCCCAGTTTGCCACGGAACAATGAACAAAACAGCTAAGCATTCCATGCGATGGCTAGGTGTCCTTCTGGATAGGAAACTAAACTTCAAAGACCATGTTTCTTACTGGGCCAAGAAAGCTAGTAGGGTAGCAAATCACCTTCGAGGACTATGCAACACAGTCAAAGGACTTCCAGTAAAGTCAACCAAGAGGGCTGTGAAAGCTTGTGTTATTCCTATTCTCACACATGGCCTGGAGGCCTGGTACCCAGGAATCGAGAAAGCTGGGAGCTTAGGTGAGACATCAGCATGTCGCATTAAGGGGCTTCTTGGAACAATAGATGCCGTACTACGAACGGCGATCAGGGCTATCTTGCCAGTCTGGAAAACACACCCTGGACATATCTTACACTTTGAATCGCAGATTCCCCCAGCAGGAGTTCTTGCAGAGACAATAAGACGACGTCACGGCCTCCGACTAGGTCGAATAGATTAGAGACACCCTCTGGTTGGCAGGCTCCAAATACAAGCTCGCAAGGATCCAACAAGGCTACAAAGGAGCTTCCAGCTAGTCCCTGACTTCCAGAGACCAATACTTACCAGGCCATCATGGAAGAAGCGCCCAATCCGCAAAGACAAAGACAAAGAAACAGAGCTCTTCAAGCAATGGTTACAAGAGAGAAACGTGAACACTGACCTTGTCATCTACTCAGATGGATCACAGTTGGATGACCAAGGCACAATCCGCACTGGATGGGGTTATACCATCAGGAAAGGCGGCACTACACAAGAAGTATACCGGGGAAGGGGCAGACTTCTACAAGCAGAAGTAGTAGATGCTGAAGTCCATGGTGCTCTCCAAGGTCTTGCAGCAGCCAGGGCAATTGGACACGGAAAACAGCTATATGTCTGCCTGGACAACACGTCAGTGGTAGATGGGCTCAATGGAACTCCACCCGAGACATCACAAAACATTTTTCTACGATTTCAAGAACTTGCCACAGCACACACTCCTGGAGTGACCGTCAAATGGATTCCTGGACACAGAGATATTGATGGCAACGAAGCTGCCGACACACTAGCAAAAGAGGGTGCCATGCTAGAAACAGACACAACAAATCTTCCTACAATCTCTTGGGTCAAGAGAGATCTCAAAAGACAGGGCAAGAAAGAGTTCAACCAATGGTGGAAAGACCAATCTGAATCTAGGTATCAAGAAGTATACTCACATGCAGTAACTGAAAGAGACCTTATATCTTTTAAGAGGAGTACTTTACACAGACTTCTAGCGGCCAGATCTGGACATGGCGACTTTGCCAGATACCATGAACGCTTTGGGCACACAGACTCAAATGATCACTGCAGCTGTGGTGAGAAAAAAACACCACAACACATTTTCTTTTGTAAGAGGCTGGGGAAAAATCGGCTACTGCCTAGGCATTCGCCTAGGGCAGCTTGTTTACAATACTTAGGGGAGAGGAGCACAGAATGGGCAAAATTCGTGGAGAAGAGCAAGTTCTTTTCAACAATCTGCCCCCGATAGATAGCCTTCCTTGAAGGACCAGATGGATGACCCCAAGGTCATACCGCCGCAACAACGGGGATGGGCCCGTGAGCGGGACTGACTGTACTTATTATCTTGAGACCTCCACAACCCTGTGATGCAGAGGCTCTGGGAGGCGTGGTTTGCACTACTGAGGAGCTACCCCCACGTTAAATACAAAACAAACAATACCTCACTCTGTATCAGGCATTCACCAAAGCCAACCTGGAGAAGCAGCGCCAGATAAAATGGCATTCGCCAGCTTCATTGCAACCTCCCCCCTGTTCCCCTGTTCCCCTGTTGATTACAATTAGTCATGAATAAGGTACGACTTCGGCATGTGACGAACAACCGCCCGGCTTCGAAGCTGCTGCGGGGCCGTTCCCCATTCAAAAACGTCTCTGTCTCGGCGTTGCGAAATAAGCAACCGCCGAAGCTCCTTGATGTGAGCCTCGAGACCTGGAGTCTTCAGACGTTGGATTTACGACTGCTTTTGTGAGACGAGCAGCTTGCCGTATACGCCAATTGCTGTTGCTACTTACTATTCGCAAAGCAATCATCATGCCGGGCTCCTCGCGAATGCCAATCAGCCTACGGGAGAGCTTGAATAGCGTCAAGCGATCACGGCCGAGCAACCCGTGGCAGGTCATCAACCTCGACTTGTAAGTCGTGCCCATCCTCAGCAATCAGTCGAGCGTTTCTTGGTAAACTCCTAGGGAGACTGATAGCTAACCACCCCCCTCTTCCACGACACAACAGGCTCCGCAACATCGTCTTCTTCCTCTTCGTGCTCCGCCTCGTCCGCCGGACCTTCTGGAAGCTCAAGGGCCGCGGGCTCCTCGGCACCATCGCCGAGCTCTACACCGACACGCGCCGCATACTATACGGCTACTTCCTGCGGGCGCCGGGCGTGCGCTCGCAGGTGCGCAAACAAGTCAATGAGTCGCTGGCAAAAGTCCAGGCCAAGATGATCCCCGCCGGCGGCTCGCGGTACCTAGCACTACCAAAAGAGGGCTGGACCGACGAGGCCCTGCGCACGGAGCTCGAGGCCCTGGCCGCCATGGACCACACGCGCTGGGAGGACGGCTTCGTGTCTGGCGCCGTGTATCATGGGGAAGATGGTTTGCTGAAGCTGCAGACGGAGGCCTATGGCAAGTTCACGGTCGCGAACCCGATCCATCCGGACGTGTTCCCCGGCGTGCGCAAGATGGAGGCCGAGGTCGTGGCCATGGTGCTGTCGCTGTTCCATGCAACATCACAAGGAGGGTCATCATGTTGAGGTCCGAGTCAAGGACAGGTCAGAGTCCAAGGTTCATGTTATCGGTCTTCTCGATCATTTCCTCACATTCCAGACACCCGACCAGCGCTCAAAGCTCTGAATTGCCCGAGCACCTAGGTAGATAAATACATTACAATACTACAGTGCTCAACTCATGACGCCGCTTTTGGATAAGGTAGGCCGGTGGGGTTTATAGAGTTGTATGGGGAATCCTAATAACCAGCCTCACTTTATCCCATGCATGTGTTATTAAACAGTGTGTACAGTAGTTCATATGGTTGAAAATGTGAACTCATCAGAAGGGTCTGATGTTGTGGGCTAGGTGTCCCCAAAATGCCCTATTGGCCTTGTTTGGTCCTTCTAACATTAAATGATGGGTTTCCATTAGGCTTTCGTTCCGAGGTGTTAAGAAGGATAGCGTTGCGTCATGGCGGAACGTAGATGTACGGGAAGTTGGTGAAAGGAGTCAACGAGACGTAGCTGTGGCTCCTCAACCCATTTTCCAGCCACAATGACGGATGGGTCACGGACCAGGATACAAGGTACCTTGTACCCAACTGGGATGGTAGCTACTTCTGGGATGGGGACACCACCCATCCTTTCTTTCAAACAAGCAACCTTCCAGAATCCAGACCAATAGCCACCTATCGTGACCCTGGTCCTGATTTTGGAACCGCTACCAACAAGGCACATAGCCACTTAGGTATGCATAAAGGCATCATACGGCCGTATTGCGGAGGTATTACCAGCCTGATCCTAGCTACCAGCTGGTCATGTATAGTTGACCGAGAGGCTCTCGCAATCATGGGCTTGTTCGTCCCAGGGGCCGAGACGGTGACCGTGTTCGAAGAACAGGAAGAGGGCATTGCTCATGCTGAAGGGTGGGCGGTATTGGATCGATGCTGACACGAGATCCAGATTTGGCTTTTGGGCTGAGTGGATGGAGTGGATAGAGGCGCTTCTAGGAACTGGATCAAGAGCAGAAACGGGGTTATTGGCAGTAACTTCTGCTCTCACACAGGGTGACGTCTGTGCCCCTTTCCTCTTGACCTTGACCTTACCTTGACCGTGTATCTGATCGTCTAGCCTGGTCGTGTCGGCCGCCAAGGCAATGCTGGTGACTTATTTTAGCACTAGCATGTGGATATTGTTAGCCAGGACAGAAGAACCCCAGTTGTGGAGAAGCAGCGGCATGTGTGACAGCTGGAAGATGCATGCGTCTCCGTCGTGTTCCCCTCTTGGACTCTTGGACTCATAGCCACTCATGACCAATCATTCTCAGCCGCCTCCATCCATAGGTCGGCAGTCTCTGCGGGCTTCTTAGATGTCCATGAGTCATCCTGAAGACACCCTCACAGGTTTCCAAACCGGTCATCGATGCCTCGTCCGATGGCACGCCTTCGATGCTCTCGAGGGGCTATGAAGGATAGGTCAGGAGTCAGTGGCATGGCGTAATACACATGCATGAGAAACGCCCTGTAACATTGATGGCCAATCATTCTCAGTCATCATTCGAGGCGTTCCTCCATTTATCCATAACATGTGGCTTCGCAAGTGGAGGGCGTCGAAGCGGATCGAGCTTACGGAAGATGACGCACGAGAGAGGCTCGCTTTTTGCAATAAATACCACTCTCCGGAGGCTCTGGAGGAGCTGATACGAACGCTCTTCTCAGACGAAGTCACGGTCCAGAATCCACACGATAATCCGGGCGATTGGGTCATCCGCCTCTCTTCTGAACGTTACCGGCAGGATCTCGTGAACCCTCGGAGCCATGAGAGACCCATACCTTCATACAAAGTAAGAAAACCGTCGCAGGTAGAAGCTAATGTAAACATTGGTATACCGGTCGAGGCGCTCTCTAACCAACACGTCGGCTACCCGTATAGACACTATTGGTGCGTGATGTCTGTTTGTCGTTGCGTACAATCGCCTTCCGCTGCCAGTCTCATGAAATTGGTATTGATGGTATGGTATTCAGAGAGATCAGGAAGGCGAACTAAAAGATTTGGTGAAATCGGAGTAATGGCGAAACGGCTTCAGGGTCCCTTACGAGTCGCATTAGGCAGGTCTACTCCTTCTCGATAATCAGTGTATGATTTTACCCGCGTCTAGTGAGTCACTCAGCTAGGCTCCGTCGAGCCTCTTCCTCAAGGACTGACCATTCAAACCGGGCAAGCACCTTCTTATTCGCAGGGTGGCTGTACTGCATACCTACGTGAGGTGGCAATGGAGATCATAGGATTAGTTGGATAATTAAGGAAGATGAAACATGATCATGAGCAGGGACTGGATCGTGAACAGAAGTTGATCTACGGGTTGGAACTGAATTGTGAGCAGCACGTAAAACGAGCTTAGCGTCCCAGCTTGGGGTTTCCTAGTGTCTGACACGTACGTAAATGAGTGGTCATGAGTGATTCATAGCCATCCTCGGTTATCTCATGTATCTCGTTTATAAAAACGATAGACAGACAAGAGGTGAGCCGAGGAGCAACGCGACGCGACTTTCGGTCTATAATGCCAAACACTGCACAATTGGTTGCCGTGTGAGAGCACCTTTTGCTGCGGGTTGGTGGACTGACAACGTTGCCCCCATGATTGCCTAATTGCCAAATCAGGCTGGAGAATCACAAAGTGGTAACCAATCATTATCAGAAACAGGGGTTCAGGTGATTCGGCAGCCGCCAACGATGGTTATGGGTGGGCTGAGCCTGGCGTGACAACGCAGGCGACCCCTTGAATCGCCACACCACAAGCAGCAGCAGCAGTCGACTCAATCAGTTCCCAGCCCCTGATAAGAAGCGAGCGGGTCAATTCGCCTCCCCTGTCATTCTTTCTCCCTAGTACATACGCAATCGGTACATACACAATCGAACTTCCAGCGGGACTGGTGGACGTGGGCATTCCGGCAACCTCGGCTGCAAGCAGACGCTGCTAGGATTTCCCCCTAGTGGGAAGCAATGCTACCAAAGCTCCATAGTTAATTCTAGCACTGACTTCCTGCCCAGCCCATGCACCCTAACCTATATCGAATCAAAATTGACTAGTCCACGGAGCAAGCGCCCGTCTGCATATCATGCGACGCAGTCTGTGACTCATAATATTGTACATACAAAATCTGGCAAGAGACGAACCTTCCCATATAGTATGACGCACTCGTTCGCAAGAAGAGGTTATAAGAGCTATAAATTGATGCACTTTCAAACTTAATGACGACCACGGCTTTTGTGGCCCACTTGTCTCATATACTCAGCTGGGAACCTGTCCGGCCACTTAAGAAATTGTTCTTAACTATCCCAGGACGACCGCGACTCTGCAACGAACAGCACCCTATTGTTCTAGTAACACCATGAGCGACAATCACCCTCGCATCTGTTATGAATTGGCCTCCGAAGTTCTTGATGACTGGCGCTCCAGCAAAGTCAACGCCCTTGACCTGACAAAAAGTCTCGAAGACTTACAAAGTTTCTTCAACGAATTTTCACTGTCAGCTTCACTTCAACAACTTTCTGAAGGTCGTTCTATTTTAGCAGCATTAAATTTTTCCTTACGCAATGACCAACGAGGTGAAGAACTCATTCGTGGTGTCAATACCTACATCCCACGATATCGAGGACGGGCATGACCTCAAAAAGGAAGAGAGTAGCTATATTGATAGCTGTTTTGCCAGCAACATATACAATATGGAGGACGGCGAGGTCTGATGCGTAGTCAAGAAATGCTCGCAGATCATAAAGGCACGGATTCATAGTTCGATAGCCCAATTAGGAAAGGCATACGATCATTTGGATCTGAGACGGGGCAAGAGAATACATTTGGGTTTCCCAATGCGCTTATATCCACCACTTTCCCTATCTATTCAGTCGTTATTCGCTCTCGACGAAGCCTCCTCAACGCTCGCCAAACTGGACAAGCACCACGGTTCGTCATTATTGACACCAATAAGGAACTTGTTGAACAACTTTAATAGCGGGAACTTTACGTGGGGAGAGAAGCTGTAATCGTCTTTGGTCTTGATGATGATGAAGTTCCTCCGGCATCCCCAGAAGCATACCAGTCCTCCCTCCCTCGATTATCCGGCGGGGTGGATAGTGTGTACTCAACCCCATCTTTATTGCAACGTCTATTCGACGAAGTGACAGCTCAGCTCTCAACCGCATGGTCAGAGCCCGACCTCACACATTCACTTATGGACAAAGAGTGTGACTCACTGGTCTATGAGTACCTCTAACCGCGCATGCCCACTTCTCCAGCCCTCCAGACGGACATCTTGGCGCCAATAATATTCGCGTCACCTGGCTTCTTGCAGCCAACGGTCTACGCTAACAGTATGCTCAGACGATTTTGCGTAGATGTCAGAGCCCAATGATGAGCGGCTTCAGAGTCGTAACAGAGGATGGATCCAACCCGAGCTACGCCGGATCCCTCGCTCGCTACCCTCATGCTCTGGCAGATGATTCTTCACTCAGTGGTCATCTCACATGGCGGAGGCGGTCCCCATACACACCCTGGGTGTCTATATACGTCGACTGGAGTGCTGCCATTCGCAAAGCAGAATATTACCGGAACAGTACGAACGCCAGGAGCATCTATATCATGGCCATCGACATGGAGATGCATTCTCCCTTGCTCAATGCCGCCTGTAAGGCGTGGGTTCATTGTTCAAAAGTCTATTCGCCAGGCCTATTACAAGGTACACGCACCACCAGCTGACATCAATATCTATCTAGACCACTAGGTGGCCGACAGTATTCGCTTCATAGACACTTTAATATCATTTAGTCGTGGCTTTTCCACGACCTGTTGCATTTTGGGCACAGCTTCCCAGCCTGTTTTGTGACCTCTCCCAGTACCTTTGTTTTCCACTTTGCACATATCATATAGCACCGGCAGAGCGCCGCTTCAGCCTCCTTCACATACTTTGCCTCGCGGGAACGTAGGCCGAGGAGGATGCTCTCCAGTAGCGGCATGCAATGCTCCTTTGTCATCTCTCTCTTCTCGTTGTCAAGGATGAACATCGTTTCTGACGGTGCGATGCAGTGGGGTGTTGTGAACTGTATACCCGGGGTGAGCCCGCCTCTCAGCGTTACGGTTGCGTGGATGTACCCGGGTGGGAGGTAGAGTGCTTCTGCCGCCGTCTGGATACAGAATTCTCCTTTTTCTAGCCGTCCTTGCAGCGCAATAAACAAGGAGTTCTTGTCATATACCTCGGACAGCTCGGCCTTGTTGTGGTCCGATAGGGGATATAGCGCCCATAGCTTGACACAGTCTTCGGAAAGCGCCGTCAGCCCGTGTCTCCCGTGGTCTGTGCGGTGTTGTCAGCTCTCATCCTGTGCATAATTCGCCACCTGTCTACTTACCGACGTGTATGTCCACAAAGGAGAATTGTGGGGTGATGTTCGTGGTGGTCGTTACATCTTCAGGGTCCAGGTTGTATATTCCATATAAGCACTCAGGAATGCGCATCACTGCCGACTTCGCCTCCATGTTCACTGCATAAAACGTGCTTTCCGGGTCGGGGAACCAAAGTTGCTTCAACACTTGGGTAATGGGCGCGCTTTCGCATGGGAAGTGGCCAATCCCGCGCTTATAGATTTGGGTCTTCTGCTTGCTGAAACCATCCAAAAGGTCATCCAGGAACTCATCTGTCGACAGCGGCTTCTTTTCCCAGCACTGTCCCGAAGACACAAAGAATGGGGCCTTTAGGCCCATGTCATCCGACTCCCTAGGCTTGCTCATGTTGGCTGTGCCACCTGCGCGCGCGATCTCCACACGGAAAGCCGAAGACAGCGGCGACAGCGGCGACAGTCCCTGGTCTGAGATAGCGAGGAACTCACGCAGCATCTCCTCCTTGTCTAGTGGCTTCGCTTCTTGTTCCTTTTGTTCCTTTTGCTCCTTATTGTTTATGTGCCTGTTTCGTTGTGTGTGCCTGAGCCAGCTGTACTCGGTTATGTCCTCCTCGCAGTACTCGCAATACCTCTTGTTCGTACCTGCCTGCTGGCGCTGCTTTCTGGCTCGGTTGGGCGACTGGCGCGGCTTTCGGACTCGGTTGGGCAGCTGGGGCTGCTCTGGTGGTAGGTCTCCCATGATGGCTTTCCTGCTCGTGGATATAGCGTTGCTCGTGTCCCGGTAGTAGTGGTGGCGGTGCACTGGCCGTGACTACGTGCCGCTTGCGACTTGTATGAACACGGGTAACTCACGTCTGGCTGTCAGCAATGGTGGTGGTGGTGGTGGTGGTTCTATGGTCGTTGCAGCAGAACTGTGCTTGTCGATGGTGTAGTGCAGCCGTTCACGAGTATGGAAATACAGGTTTTTATTTCAATCTGGAGAGGCAAGCACACAAGCACGGATGGCTGATGCGCGGCTGATGCGCGGCTGATGCGCGGCTGATGTGTGGCTAATGCGCGGCTGATGTGTGGCTGATGGCCGCGGGTGTTGATGATTAGGTTAGCCTTGGTTGGCGCGGGGCAAGGCGACTCGTGCCCCGTGGTACCGGGGGTGGTGTCGGGATTCGAGGTACTTGTGTGGCCCGAGTCGTCGCTTACTAGAAGGTGCGAACTGCCTGTGAGCGACGGGCTTGGACGCGAAATGCGAGATACGAGATAGAAGGAGGTCGAGAGTAGGATGGGAGACAGATGACTTGCCTGTTTTCGGTTCAGGTTGTGGACTGATGCTGAAGTTGATGGCGTGGTCGTGGTGTCAGGGAATGAAAAATGGTTGTGGATAGGAAGAAGGAAAGGCCATAGCAGCCAAGTCCAAACGGTTGTGTCGCAAGAGCTGGAGGTGGGTGCCCGGGGCAGCCATCGTGAAGACACTCAAATGCCAGGACAACATGGGGCGCGTGGCAGCAGCTGAGGTCTACCAAGCAAGGCGGAAAGCCAGGTGGCATTGCGTCCATCATGCGACAAGGAATCAAACCTGGGCCATTTGCCACGCAGCTCGGGATGGTCTGGCAGTCACTTACATCCTATTTCATCACACACGCGCCCGTCAGTCGATGCCACGCAGCTGGGGACGGTCTGGCAGTCACTTACGAACTATTCCATCGCACACGCGCCTATTAGCTTATATATTAACTTAGTCCATATCTTCAAAGAAATCTCACTTCCTGTTTCATAATTAATACAATAATCGCTAGCGTAAAGGTAACTATGAACTACATTCTATATTATCCTTGTTAGTTTAGGTATAGCTCCATCATTAGAAGTCAGCTTACGTACAATAAATAGATCGTCGCCTAATCCGGTGGGCAGTTCTGCCAAGTCGCTCATCTTGTAGATCGCTTATAATACTACCAGTTACGTTATATTATACCGAGTGATCGATGGCCTCAAGTCAAGGTATAGGGCAGCGGGGAATTTCAAGCGGGAATAAAAAGAGGGTATAGGAAGGTTTACGCAGACGAAGGACCTGGTGCTGCTGTGGCAGAAACTCCCAAAAGACCAACAGCTCCCTGCCGTTATTGGCCAGGAAGGCCAAGAAGGAATGTCGGCCTATCATCTCGGATCCCACTGCGACGTACGGGGCTGGTGGTTGGTTGCAGTATGACAGGGCAACAGCGGGAGTAGACTAGTGAGTGGGATTTGCTCGTTTGCCTCGTTTGTCTGGTGCGCATGGCAGCTTAGACGTTGCTAGAATACGAACCACCAATGCCCAAACATTGTACCCATTAATAAAAAGCTCGTCCCTTCTCGGTATAGAACGGCCCGTGTGGATACGCATACGTTTCTCTCTACCTTTTGTGTTCTTTCATGTATTTAGTCGACCTAGAGCTACCTTTAACGTGTTCAGGGCACCAGAGAGATATAGCTCCTATTCTAGCATAATAAAGGACAAATAATAGAGAGTAACTTTAAGAGCCTAAAGCCATTTATAACCCTTAATAGACAAAATAGGCATTTTAAAACACACTCTAGTCCAGTTTCCAATAGGGACAGGATTGATGCCTTGTAGTACGCACAGCTAGATACTATTTTATTCCGTGATGTATAAGTACTCTATGCTTTGTTACACTCCATCTCCACAGAGCAAGGCGATAGTGTCTATTAAGTGCTGTTAAGACGCCTTCGTGCTCTTGAATGGCATCGCTACAAACGGGGGTGTCGCCAGATACCGGTGCGGGATCAGCCCATGAGGTTGTGAGCCACACGAAACGATGCGCGCAGAGCGAGAGACAGAAGCAGAGAAAATCTCAAGAAGAGACGGAAGACTTTACTCCGGACTGGATCGCAGCTCCGCCTCGACCACGGCGCATCTGTGTACTTCTCCATATCGGTGCCCCATAAAGTCAAACACTACGTGTTTGGTACCGCTATTAAACAAGGACATGGTGTAAATTAAAAACTTCGTGTGGCGTACGAACTAACAATTTGGTAGGATAAAAACTACCCGCCTCCTGTTGTAGTGACTGGTGTAGAGCGCATGTCGGAAGCAAGAAACAGCAAGCTAGGACGCCAAGCACATTTTCCGCCCCCCTCACGATCCAGTTGCTGCTTTCACCTATATTGTCACAAAATAGGTCCATGGGTAGGGGATGTCTGTTCATAAGTCATCCTGATGCTGCCTTTATCAGAGCATACATACTACCTGAGAACAAGGACTACATCGCTGTTATACCAATCATCCTTTGTTATCACCGCTGTCACGTAAGAGAAGTCACGAGGCGGCTGAGAATGATTGGCCTGGGATATGCGGCCAACACATTGACTTGGTATGCAGGAGGGCTATATTTACAGGCTTCCTGACTTGGAATTTTCCAGTGTTGATCTTGGCAGCCACATGGCCATCATAGAGGCGGGTTTTAGTCCAATGCGCAGCCGCTTCCATGAACTACAAAACAAGGCCGTCTAGCAACCTCCTGGCCTTAATCCCCGGTCGCATGAATAATCCCAGATAACAGCGGAAGAAAGGGGGAGGGCAGCTACACTGACAGCTGGCTTACCAGCAACCTGTATAATATAGAGGCCGGCGAGGTATGATGCGAAAGGGCGATGATATCTCGAACAGGAAGTCGTTTATTCATGGTCGTAACCAAGTCGCGCTTCGTCATGCGGTACGTTCACCCCAAGCTCACGAACTCTTGGGAGACAGAGACGCTTGTGGCGGTTTACTTACTCATTTGTAAACCGGTCTGCCTCATTAGGTCTTTCTTCTCATCCATGGTATGGTACGGATGGGATTGATGATAAACAAACCACACACGGAGCTTGTCTGTTGTCCCCTTGGGCATATTGCCCCGGCGCTTCTGTTGTTTGCTACCGCCATTAATCCCGATGCCAAACTCGCCAATATGCACGGATGTCTCGTGTACGAGTTGATGTTAATAGTGTTGTCATCTCTCAGATCGACTGGATGGATCATGTCGAGGTCGATAGAGTCGACAAGGTTAGCATAAAGGTTGTGTTTGCCAAGGTATCGTAGTTTCTTATTTCTCAGGATGTTTGCGGGGTCTTGAGCGACTTGGATTCCGCTGTTGCCACTGCTGGAGGCCATCTTGTCGGATGTACGCGTGTCGGATGTACGCGTGTCAGATGTACGCGTGTCGGATGTACGCGTGTCGGATGTACGCGTGTGCGAGAGATTCGTGCGTGCGTAAAGGTTTTACGCGTGAGGGAGGGTTATTTCAACAGTCTGTGCTGCCACGCGGGGATGTGAATATTGCTGTGACTGTAGCGTAATCTATTGCCTCGAGTCACCTCCTCTGGGGGAACGTTTGCGACAGAAGATCCAGATCTTTGGCTGTATCCCGAGTCTCGTGTCAGGAACGTTGATACAGTAAAATCTCTTCTTTTCCTTGCTTATCTTTGTTGCCTTGATGCCATTGTAATAATCAATAAGTTTTGCATCACTGCCTGATCAAAAAACCATCAGCAGCATCATGACCTTGACCCCATACTCGAGTATTATGATTGATCGTTCAAGCCTGTTCCAACAATATTAGTTACTTCGAGTTTGTATTCAAGGTCAAGTTTCTCCCTGGAAAGGCCATGGTGCTGCTGTTCGCCTGAAGCATCACGACGCCCAAGTCTAGAAGATACAATTCTATCTGCTGCCTCTAAATCCTGCATCTGCTACACATCATTTGCGCATCAGCTGCGCATCAGCCGCACATCAGCCAACCTCGAAAGGCTCCTGATACTAAGCTAGAGTCCAAATGAGGCCAAGAATCAGCAGAAAGGTGCACAATTCAAACATGACTTTATTAACACAAGGGAGACATTAAAGAATGGGAAAGTTTAGATTGACCCCGATACGTTTATAGCATGTAGCTCAACATGAATCGTAACACCTTCATTGCCCGAACCATCCTCCGAAAACGCCACCATGCTAGAGGCAACATGGCTCGGTCTACCAGGAGAGATGGTAGGAACTCAATCTGGGGCTAGTTCCAGGCAGGAGACACGGGTCGGGCAGCTTAGTGAGTAGCTCTGCCACCCATACCACCACGTCCCTGACCACGACTGTTGCCAAAGGGAGGACAGCGAGGGCCGAACACACTATTAAGCACAAGCATGTTAGTCAAACAATCGATAGATTTAAGGACAGGCAAGTCGCATACTTAGCTCCGCTTGTTCCACGTCGGAAAATGGGCTGGTTGTAGATGGTAGGAGACAGACCAACAAGCGGGGTATCATAAGCGCGAACGTTATACCCGTTGGTTTGGAACTGTTGACAACCCGAAGTAGCACACTTGAGCTCTTTCTGCGCGGGAGTATCAGCATAGCGGATCTGCATAGGCAGACGCTCACAGCCGAGTTGGAATCCACTGAATCGTTTGATGATCTCGTCGCACAGCTCACGAGACTTGAAGCTAGGAACATTGTCAGTATGACCAGGCCTGTTGACGGTGTGATGATTGAACTTACCGGGCGAATCCAACACCACGGCTATTACCCATCGAGTCACGGAGAATCTTGCTGGACAAGATCGTGTAGCCTAAGAAAACCACGCCAAGTTCCTGTGATTATCAGTAGGCTTATATTTTGATAGATGGTGATATAAACTTACGGCTTCGGTCAACGACTTGGGGAGATTAAATATGTAGAGGTTGGTAGAATAATCATTTCCTTTAGCCTTCAGTCTGGAGTTAAAAGACTCCTGGGTCATGCTAGCATGCGAGACAGTGCAATGATAAGTGCAGCAATAGTCTCCAGGAGTGCGCACTCGTGCAAAGCCAACTTTATAGTAAGCACCTGTGGCAGTATCAATGATAGCCTTGGAAGTCTCGACGTTGCCAAAGCGCGGGACCTACTTTAAAAAAATCTCGTCATCGGGAATCGGGTAAGGACCACAAACGTAGAGATTGCGATTGCCAGGGATGTGGTTGACCAGCCTCTGGTCCAGGGTCTTCATGCTCTCCTGCGGAGTGAGGACAGCACCCGGGATGGCGCGCTCCCGTCGAAGCAGTGCATCATGGCCACGACCAAACGGCATCGAGATGTCGTAAGAACCCTTAGGCTGCTGAACAGCACCGCCAGAAATTATTTGCTGGGCCGAAGGAGCCGTGTAGCTTGAGCGATCGAAGACAGAGACGCGTGCAGCCTGATCCCGAGTAGGCATGCTACCGAAAAAGGGCGTGGCAGGTGTAGACTCATTGGTCGGGTACAAGAATCGACGATTTTCTAAAGCCGGAACATCCTTAGCGCTAGTATCAAAGCGTCCAGCCATTGTATCGGCACGACCATGAGTTTGGGGGAAGACAGGGTAGGGCATGTAGGTAGAGTAGTTAAGGTAGGGAGCTGTAACAGCGGTGTTGGGATCGTGAGTTGGTCTGAAGACGATGCTGTGGGCTCTAGAAGGAGCGTAGCCGCTAGCGTAGACACCCTGACCATCCGGCATGGTCATGTGAGGATTGGCCATTCCGAAAATAGCACCATGGTGGCCAACAGCAGCACCGTTGATTCCGAGTCCGCCAAGCTGGTTGACAACCGCGTTCAAGCCGTCATCGATGAACGAAACATTGGCCAGGAAGCAGTCGGTATAAGAATTATGCGTGGGATAAAGTAAAGCTGGCAATGAGTTGCTCGCGACCACTCATTTACGAACATGTCGGAAACTAGGAAAGAACAAGCTGTGACGCCATATTAGTTTATGTTCTACTCATGATTCGGTTTCATCTTTTTCAACTGCTGTCCAACTAGTCACGTGGTCCATTGCCACCTCTCGCTTTCTTGGACTTGCCAGGATTCTTCATCGAGTAATTGGAATCTAGCATTGTAAAGTATCATGTTGATAAACTGGGTGGACAAAAGTCTCCGTACACCCCACGACTAATCTCCGACCATCAAAACAACGCGTCAACCACCCTTCAACTTCAACACTCTCTCAACAACGCTAATCACGATGGTATTTCGATCTTTTGGAGACGAATTGAGCGGCAGTCACGCGCCGAACGGGGAGTTTACTCGCGATGCTCGCTCTGCGATTGTGGCGGCGAGAGTGCTGGGGCAGAGCCGCAAGGAGGTTGCCGACGCGTTCAAAACCACGCGCCCTGCCACCATCACTGAGACTGTCAAGCGCTTTGAGACCACCACCACCACGAAATCTGCTCCCAGAAGTGGTCGACCAAGTGCTCTGAACACTCGCGAACGCGCCCGTGTTATTCAGGCAGCGAGGGACTTCCCCAGGGCCTCGTGGCAGAAGATCCGAAACAAGGCCCGCGTTCTCTGCTGTGCGAAGACTATCAAGCGCCTCTGCCACGCCAGAGGGCTTGAGAAGTGGCGAGCAGCCAAGAGGATCGAGCTGAACGAGGAGACGGCTCGGATAAGGCGCGAATTTGCCGAATATTACGACCATCCGGAGCGTATTCTCGAGCTCTTGAAAGCACTGTTCTCTGACGAGTGTACGGTCCAAAATGAATCGGATAATCCAGGCGATTGGGTCATCCGATACTCGTCAGAGCGGTACCGTTATGATCTCGTGAACCCCACGAGTCACGGAAAGCCTCGTATTTCGATAATGGTGTGGTCTCAGATCTGGCTACGCGATGGAGAAGGAGGACTGGGCGAGTTGATCTTCTGCCCACTTGATCCGGATGCTCCGCGCGGAGGAGTATCCGCAGAGTCATATAAACAGGTCCTTGAGAACGGCCTCCTTTACTTCTACGAGGCTGGAGATCCTTTTGTTCAAGATAACGCGAAAATTCACCTCTCAGGAGGTGTTCCGGAGTGGCTAGAAGAGCACGGGATTTACTGTATCGACTGGCCTCCTCACAGCCCCGATCTCAACCCCATCGAGCATGTCTGGCGACTTCTGAAGAGGCAGATACGTGCTATCGAGCCTGAATTCTCCGAATTGAAGGACAATATCCCTCGTTACCAGTACGCACACGAGTTAATTGAGAGGGCGTGGTCCGAGATCGATCGGTACGCGTGCTGATCGAGTCTGTTCGCGATCGCATCGCCGCATGCAGGCGCGCTGGTGGATTGTACACGCATTACTGAGCGGGCTATTGAATGGAATTTATTTGAGGATTTTCTGACTATAATTGAGTGTGTTGTGGTTCAATTGAGTTGTGAGATGTAGCGGGTCAGGGGTCCAGAAATGGGGCTGTAAGGAGACTTTTGTCCCCCGATTGTAGCCAAAGGTTTTGGCGTTGATCTCACGGTTAAGATCACAACTCCCATTGGAACTGTTGAACTTGAGCACAACCAAGGGCTGAAAATTCCAAGGTACATCCTGTAGTGTTCTTCTCTAGTTGTTTGTGTTCCATTCTTTCTCCGCAGGTAGACCAACTCTAATTATGCAACCCAACGAGTGTGCCCGTTAACTGTGTGGTGTTAACAATCATTTCGCGATCGTTTTCGCGAGTCTGGGCCCGTCTATGTTTCCATTTCGCATATCCAGAAAGCATAACAAGCGTCGTATCATAAGTCGTAAGGAAAGCGCAGGTAGCCTATAAGGTAAGCATTGGTTTGACACCAGGATGTGAGTACTGACCAGGAGCTCATCTGCCATAGTTGAGCAGCGCTGCAATAGTATGGTCAGAGATAAGGCTCCTATTCGGACGAGGTAGTGCGCTGCGAGGATGGTTTTCTCTCTTTGGTGATCTTGGACAACTCTCGTCCACTCCCATACAACCCAAAGCCGGAACGATGCGAGTGCAACTTGAGACAAGGGGCGGCCCCATGCTGGGTACCATGGTTCGATTCTTATCCCAATGCCAAAGCACAGGCAGAAAGTGCCTGAGACACAGATTAGGGGAAGAGGAGAGAAAGGCCTCTGGCCGTGTCTCCAGGTCCCCACTGCTAGTAACGTCTTATGGCTGTCAGTCATCTAGAGCATGCACCACAGGTCTCGACTTACTTCACGTATCATGCTCCAGAACACTACCGTTCCAAAGAACCAATCTGGCCAATATCCGCTCTTCAGACATGAGAGGACTGCAAAGGCAACGGTGAGCGACGTGCTCAGTGCTGCCGTTGAAGCTACAGCAACTGTGTATGAGCGCCTGTACAGCACCCTCACCGGGAATGGCGGCTGGTGAACTACTTGACATGGTAGCCTGAAGGTGGCAATCAAGCTTAGAATTGTAATCGAGCTCTCAATAGCAAGTGCCGTATAGATGACCAAGATCTGAAGGATATTAGGACTTTCCATAATGTGTCAACTTATAAAAAACCGGCGCCTTAGTTTACAGTATAACAATGACAGCAAGGAGGTTAGGATCCCTTGATAGGTACTTATAGCTAGGCACGAGAAAACTGTAAACAGCACATCATTAGGGAGAATCGGGGTCGGGTCAATCGGTCTCCATCCGAGGTTCTTCCGCCCCCCTTTCCTTTACAACTCCAAACATGTTTTGCGAGTGGTTAGAAATCATTGGATGGCAGAAGCTTTCGCCAAAGCTGGCATCATTACCGCTAATGCATGACCACCTGCTCGATCATTGGCGGTTACCATCCCCACCATAGAAGTAGGACACCCCACTAGTCGGACAGCCAAACCCCACCATCACCGCCAAAACACCCCTTATTCACCCACATGTAAAAGAAGTCATTCAGGTCAGGGAAATTCAGCAAAATTATCATTCGAGAGCGCTGAAGTTTTTCATTCGTACAGTCTAGCGGGCGCCCGTATCGCACGGCCGGAACGTGTCAGCCTAGGCTGCTGGATGGCCTCCAAAGCGGCCTCTTCAGGGGCTTCATCCTCATCTTCCTCTTCATACTCCGACTCAACAATTATCTCTTCTTGTACCTCTGCAGGCGTTTCAGGGCCGATGGTACCTCCTTTAGACAAGATCTCTGTCACCGTTCTAAATTTCTTGTAGGATTAGGGATCTTTTGCCGCTTCTTGGGCCGTAGTCGCTCCAGTTCAGCCTCCAGGGCTTTGATCTTCCGGGCTTGGATGACAACTTCCGTCTTCTTGGTCTCGAACGCGTTGGCTATCTTCCTGTACTTCAAGCGGGTGCCAGGGGAGAAACAAAAGACAAAAGACCGGCACATCAGCTCCTATCAAGCCGCTTGAGATCGGCCCGGATAACTTGCCAGGGCGGCAGGCGCAAGGCGCGATAATGTCGCGAGCGCGTTCTATCTGGATCGGCCACAAACCGTGATACTACCAAGGGACGCAGTGTTGGCCAAGTAACGCCAGAGATACTTGAGGATAGTGTGCGTTAAGGAGTGGTTGCGAGTGACTCATAGCCGGCTTTACTTTATCCCATGTATGTGTATCACACACCTCACCGCCCTGGGCAATCCTTCATAGCCGCTCGACGGCATCGAAGACGCGCCATCCGATAAGGCATATGTACTTCCCATGGTTACCGTCGCACCGGGCCGTGGTTGACGGAGCTCAACTTGCATACATACCTCTCACGACCTGTCAGCCACGGCCGTGTTGCATTCGGAGCCATACATGATGCATGCATTGATTTGGTTCGCCTTAACTAGCACATTGCCGCGGCATGTCTAGTTCCGTCCTTGGCTGACGTAGGTAACTTGTTTCAAACTACCTAATACCATGCGCACTTAGTGGTGAGCCGAGAGGCTTTCCCTGGTGCCTAGCCGCCAAGTATTGGCAATTAAGCACCCTTTAATACACTATTAGCTCTGAACCTTGCTCTGTGATAATCACGTACGGAGCACCAGAAGATCCCCCTTTTGCTTCTTGAACCTGCGCCCCACGACCGATGGGGAGTCCACAGCGCTCTGTTCCGCCTGCCTCTCCGCCACTTCGAGATCACTGTGTATTTCCTTTTCAATGATATTTCCGTAGCTTGGAGTGCCATGATAGCAACTTGCACGGCGCCCAGGGGACCTCTGAGTCGGACCTTCCTCACAATAGATGGATATGCGGAGAATCTGCCTACTAATCAATCCATGAAGAAGAGAGTCAGGACCGGAGGGGCTGTCTCGACAGCCCCTCCTGGCTTGTGATCCGTCTATGAGTCATCTTGAATCCAACCACATAAAAGTAGGTACTATATACGCTGTCAAGTCCAATGGTGGTGGAGTTGTATCATTACATATGCCGTTGCAATATTGGTTGGATGTGATGAACTCTCTGAAGATCGGATGTGATGATATCAGACAATACCGGCGGCAGTTCATGGCAAGAAACATGCTGGGATGTCCCAACGCAGAATTTCTCGGTGCCGATGGAGCAGTTCTGCGGGAGTAGTTCTTGGAGGGTGCTGCCGATTAGGTCTCCCGCTTTACTGGCAAAGGAATCTAGAAGGCTACCTGCCTGGTCACCAACGGAGCCAGCTGCGTCGGCGACTATATTACGAATCAAAGTGTCCACATGCATTTCTAGAGGCAACCTGTTTATCGCCAATGTTCCGCTCAGCAGAGAACTGAAATTGAACTGTTACTTGTTAGCCTTAATCCGTGGGCAGAGTGGCAAAGCAACAGACCTGTAGGACGACAATCCCAGCTCTTTTATTAAGGTCAGTACCAAGAGCAACAGACAGGCCGTTGCAACAACCCTGCGCGGTAGACAGAGGCCCAGTCTCTAGCCGTGACTGCCATGCAATGCCGAGTAGAGAGGACACCAGCGATGCTGATGATCGCTGCGGAGACACGCATCGTGCCAAATGGATAACAGATGTGTCAAGGCTAGTGTTGCGTGGATGTTCAGGGATAACGTTATAGTGTCAAGTGAATAGTCACTTGAGTGATAACAAGGGAGGAAACGATGAAGCGGTGGGATGTGATCTAAGTGAGCTTCAGACTATGGAGTGACTTGAGAGGTTCTTTATACATGAGGCTTCATCCTTACACATGGCGATTGACACCCAATATCAAGACGAGATGCTGCCGACGGTGCTGCCTCAATCCATCCATGATCCAGCCGAACAGGAAGCGGCAAAAGTTGTTCAAGCCTGCCACCCACTATTTGGACTTCGAAGACGCCTACTACCATCAACGAAACGGTAACCCAGTCAGTTTATATCAAAAACCGAATCAGGAACCACCAGGGAAGCTCACCTACGTCTATTGTTGATGCATTGAACTCGTTTTCGAACTTGCATATTGTCAATCGAGGAGGGGCGTCTAGAAGCGACTTTTGCGTTCCAAGTTTAGATCGTTGATCTTGGGCTCTTCTGATAATCAAGCGGCCCCTGTTACGGCCCTGGCGCTCGCATCACCGGTGCCCACGGTCCACCCAGCATATAAGCAGCGTTGTTGGACTTTCACATAGCCCTGTCAATGTTCCCTTTTGGATCTGTCGTGTGACTAATGCGTACACTGTTTCGTGTGTGGCGTACTTGTCCACTTCATGATCAACAGACACCCTGGTTGTTCCTCCAAATTCAGAATTAGGTCCAGATTACATGTACCAGTGGGCTGAATCGTACCCGTCTAGGAGCGCTGGAAGGTCGTCGAGGTATGTTTTGTCGCTTCGCGATATCCGCGTCTCGCCTCGCGATCTCCAAACTCTGATGCAACTGCAAAGCTATTATAATTCGCCTCATCGGTGTGACATCTACTCCAGAACTCGACCTGAACAAGACCCATGGCCAAAAATGGCTCTCTCGGTAATCTTTGCGTGAATCGTAGGGGAATAAGCAAGCTCACAATTTTCTAGAAGTTCTTGTCCGATTTCAGCTTATGATCTAGTTCTTTCCGGGGTGCAGGTGTACGTACCAAAGCGAGATTGATGTCAGCAAGATGGATACAAACATGGAGGATGGTGAGATCTGATACATAAACTTTGGCAAATCATTCAGACAGGCAATTCATCATTACTGACTGAGGTTGAAAACTACAGTTTTAACTCAAAGCCACAAGACTGCTCCTCTTCTGGATATGGCATTTTCTTTCAAAAAGACTCCATTCTCACGGGTTCTATCATCATCACCCTCATACTCTTTAACACGGTCATTACTACACTCATTCTCACGGTCGTTTGCATAACGGTCCTATCTTTAACCTAATTCTGAATCCGTTGTTGCTTTTTGGCCCCCGTCTCTTTTTACCATGCGGTCGATAAGCGGACTATTTTCAGTATATTCCCTACTTTCATTAACAAAAGCAGGCATAATACAAGCTGGTGGGGCTGTTAGTGAAGAGTACGACTATGTCATCGTGGGCAGTGGTGCATCTGGCTTAGTCGTAGCTCATCGTCTGTCTGAAGACCAGAATAGTAAGTCATAAAACCGGCATGATCTATGATACTCAATTGACACGAGCTTTTTTAGTTAAGGTGCTTGTGATCGAAGCCGGAGGGTTTGACTATAACGATTACCGGGTCATGGCCCCTGGCTCGGTTGGCCGCGAGTGGGCCGCCGATCTCGACTATGGCTTCAATACTGTTCCCCAGACATTCCTCAATGGCGAAACTCGTGGTTACCCTCAAGGCAAGGTAGTCGGTGGAGGAACACTCCTGAACGGTCTGGTGTGGACTAGAGCCTCGTCTTCGGATTATGATTCCTGGGTGGGGGATCTAGGCAACGAGGGATGGAGTTGGACCGATCTCTGGCCCTACTTCACGAGGTCTGAGAACTTTAACGGCACAGTTACCACTATTGGCACACAGGAGTTAGACATCGCTGCCATAACAAGTACACGTAAGTCTGCGTCCACGCTCTATAGTGTCGCTCCGCCCCTATCCTTCCATTAACGAACTAACCCCTGCTGCGTAGATGGCCACGACGGTCCAATAGAAGTGTCTGTGAGTGAATCCAGCTGAACTTTCCAGAGGAAGGTGGTAGCTGACATTGTTTGACGCAGTATACTCCCTACTACTACGAAGACCAAGCCGAGAGATTCCTCAATGGATGTGCTGAGCTGGGCATCACGATTATTGGCGATACCAACACCGGTAACATGACCGGGGCCAGCATGTCGCCATCCAGCATCAAAGGCATTGCCCATAGTCGCGACAGTGCCCGAAAGGCCTACTGGAATCCTATCGCCGACCACACGAATTTGGACCTGATGATCGATACCAAGGCGACCCGTATCTTATTCGACAGATCTGGCAAAGAGCCTGTAACAAGCGGTGTTGAGTTTGCCGTAAGCGCGACCGCGAATGCCAGCACCATCACGGCTAGCCAAGAGGTCATTGTTGCCGGTGGTGCTGTCTGGACTCCCACACTGCTGCAGGTTTCAGGCATTGGTCGTCGTGCTGCTCTCGAGAACATTGGCGTTGAGGTGGTTATCGATCTTCCTGGTGTTGGTAATAACATGCAAGACCACCCCATGGTGTCTCTGACTTACGACTTTGAAGTCCCCGGTCTCTTCACCAGCAACAACCTCACTGGCCAAGAACAGCAAGCCGCCCTCACCGAATGGGAGCAGTATGGCACTGGCCCCTACTCCAGCCCCATGATCAGCCACCTTGCCTTCCCCTCTCTTGCGAGTATCGCCAACAACTACTATGAGCTTATCCAGAACGTCCGCAATGGCCAGGTTCAGAACCAACTCCCCACCCACTACGATGACGGGATGAAATGCGGCTACGAGGCCCAGATTGCCGCCAGCCTCAGCCTCCTAGGACAGGATAACCTCCCAGTCTGGGAAGTGATGCCGACTTCTTACGGCGAGCTGACCATCTCAATCATGCACCCCTTCAGCCGTGGCAACATCACCGCCGCCTCCGCTTCCATCTTCGACGCGCCCCTAATCGACCCGCGCTACTGCTCGCACGCGTTCGACTGCGACCTGCTGATGCGCGGCTTGCGCTGGAACGACCGACTGGTCGCCACCAAGGCCATGCAGGAGTTGCAACCCGTGCCCCGTGCCGGCTACGGCCCGGCCGTCGATGACGCGGCGCTGCGCCAGACCCTGTACAACGACCTGCGCACCAACTTTCACCCCAGCAGCACGACGGCCATGTTGCCACGCAACCATGGCGGTATTATCGACAACCAGTTGCGTGTGTACGGCGTGCAGGGCCTGCACGTTGTCGATGCTAGTGTCTTCCCCACGATTCCCGGCGGTCATCTCCAGGCTGCCGTCTATGCCACCGCCGAGAAGGCAGCCGATCTCATCCATGGATCCCAGAGCGATGCCTCCCAGAGCTGTACTACCCAGAGTGGTACCACCCAGGGCAAAACCTCTCAGAGCTGGACCAATAACACCTCTGTCATCAATAACAGCTACGCTGGCGATCTTGTCGGAGATGTCGACGGTGTTGCCAGCCGTGTTGTTCACAACCTTACTCCAAGTTTGACGACTGTTCTCAACCCCGAGCGCAAACCGGCCGATATCCACGCCGCCATCAATGCTTGGCTGGAGGGCAAGGGCCGGCGGCCCAACAGTTTCTTGAATGGCACGATCTTCCCCGTCTTGGATGGCTTGGATGGTGCGAAGGCTACTGCCCCAAAGAAGAAGTGTGGCTCGCGCAAGCGGGTGTGAGGCTGAGGTGATGGTCTATGAACACTACGCTGTTTGACTTGTAGACGGAGTTGGGGGACTTGGTGTATAAAGATGATCAGGCGTACGATTGGGATGAACACGTAGTCCGCATGTTTGGCGTACATACGAAATAGACTTCCCATGTCACTAAGGTATATCATGCCTTGCATACATAACGCAGCCACTACTCGGCTACCAAACACTGATAGCCGTCTCTGTCACACGCTATGCCTCGGTCACATCTTGCCATTGAACCCTACAGCCGCGTATCAGTAATAGCTGTCGAAGCTGACCTGCCTGGCAGATTGATTGACTAATTTGTCGCAATGCGGCCAACTCCAGACTGACAGAAGCTATGGAGCCTACCACCTGTGTTTACACGTACATCCATAGAAGTGACACTGTGAACAACTCCTGGAGAGGAGGCGTTGATCCGAGGCATTGTGTGGTATGCGTCCAAGTACTGTACGGATATTATAGTCCTCCCGGGATCCCTATCGGGCTCAAACCAACACGCCAATGTTGACAGTGTTCCGAGAATTTCCCAAGATACTGCAGCAGCAAAGTCTCAAGATAGTCCTACACAATTTCGAGTAAACACATGGCGTATTGTGAGTGGCCTAAATCGTATGATGTAGCTGCAGGTTGCTGACCACGACGTTGACGACTGGCTGAGATTGGCCTCCGGCGTCACCTCACGGGTGCGCCGAAATGCTCTACTGCAGTAGCCCATGTCGGATTGGCTGAAGCTGATTTGGAACACGCCCTGGGCACGCACCCTTGGCTCCTCTTTTGGCTAAAATCACTCGTCATAATACCCCGAGTCTCTTTCCCTACGCATACTTCTTAGTTCCACGAGCAGGTCCGCAATAAGTTCCCTAATCTTAGATTTCATTGTCTCGTGTTCCTTATTGTAGTACTGGCCGGTTTCTTTTCCTCTTCCTGTCCATCATCTCCTTTTCGTCCAGCGAGCCTATCCTCCCGCTTCCGTATGTAGCTGTTTAACGGAGTGTTGTGCACCATTTTATAGCGACTAGAACAATGAAACATATGGCGCAATCAAACCTCGAGGAATATCGCATAAGGCCTTGGATTTCCCTTTCTCCTTGGAAGTGGGGGGCATGACTCACTAAGTGAACACACCTCCTGGTCCAATTCACCCGCCGTCATTCTTGCACCGTAGGATATGCCGTGAGAGCTTCACGACTAAGCGCTGAGTATCCTCCGTGATTTTGAGATCCTTCAGCGCTGCCGTACCCACTAGCCAGTGGTAGTCTGTTAAATGGCAGTAAAAGCCGTGAACAATACTCGTTGACACGCTGGAAGCACTTGCCCTCAGTTGAGTAATGGCAGCCGCTATTTATAATAGTTGACATCGGTGCAACTCCCCTTGTAGGAACCCAGTCTCCTTGTCCATAACACCCTGAGTAAAGATCTGCAGCTAACATCTCCCACCCCCCTGCGGACCACCCCCCCGCGGACCAGCGCGTTCTGACCCACAAACGCGTAATTCACCAACCACCAGGATTATGGTGATCCACCATCCACACCATCACTTTTGCATCTTTTTTTTCACAAAGCACACTATTTGAATCCTTATCCACTGCTGAATCTCATGATGTCATTTTATGACCGTCAAATAAAAGCTGAAGCCGCCATTTTGGCCATCCAACGCGGAGCTCCAGTCCGCTCGTCAGCCCTCGAATGGCAAATCAGTCGCTCGTACGTCAACCGACAAATCTCTGGCACCCCAACGCGGAATGAGACCAGCGCTCTCCAACAGGCTCTCTCACCGTATCTCGAACATAAGCTGGCAAGCTGGGCCCTGGGGCAAGCACGGCTAGGGTATTCTCCGGCGGTCTTTAAGTTCCGTCTCATGGCCCAGCGGATGCTCTATGCCACCGGGGATGCTCGAGAATTAGGGAAAAATTGGGCATCCAAGTTCCTGTCTTGAAACCCGGAAGTCAAGATAATGAAGTCTCGTGTTATCAACTACAATCGAGTGAATGGTGCTACAGCGGCAAATATCAACATTTTTTTCGATCGGTGTGACGCCCCTGACGTGGTTAACCTCATGCCAGCACGCTGGTACAACGTCGACGAAATGGGAATCGCCCAGGGGGTTGGGGACTCCTATTGGGTGGTCTCCGAGGCCTCCAGCAACGTGGCTATGAAGAAAGGGGTCGAGAAGGGTGAATGGATAACTGCCCTAGAGTGTGTGAGCGGATCTGGTGAGACCTTGCCGCCGCTGGTGATTCTCAAGGGGGTTAACGTACAAGCCCAGTGGTTTAGCAACCAAAATGAGGGCAAATTCACCAACTGGAGGTTTATTACGTCGCCCAATGGATGGACCTCGAATCCCATTGCGTTAGAATGGCTTCAACGTATCTTTATTCCTCACATTCGGGAGGTCCACGGCAACACATGGGTGGTTTTGGTGTGTGATGGCCACGACTCCCACACGAATGACGAGTTCCTAGCCATCTGCTTAAGAAACAAAGTATGGTTGATCTTTTATGAACCTCACTGCTCCCATGTAGTCCAGGTGTTAGATGTGGGAGTCTTCAATTTGGTGAAGAAGAGGTTAAAGACCTTACTCCAGGAGACGCCCAGCGGCTGTCTGGGACTCAGGCCATCTAAGGAGGAGGTTTTGGAGTGCTACGAGCAGGCCCGGAAGGACACAATGACGCTCCTCAACATCAGAATTGCCTGGAAAAAGACTGGGATTGTTCCTCGCAACAGAGCGAAGGCATTGAAGTCGAAATATGTGATTCTGGAGAACAAGGGGGTGGCCAGGGCACGCCAGAGGGACCCTAAGGCTTCCGAGCAAGCCACAACACCAGATTTTCTCGAGATGGTAGCTAAAACCATTGTCACAACACCCTCTGGAAGCCGGGCTTTGCGGGAGAGTGCTCAAAAGCTCGAAAGAAAGGACCCTTCCTTTGGGGGGCCCTCTGAGCGCTTGTTGATGCGGAAGGCTGGCAAGGCCATGGATATTCAGGCTGCTACCATTGCAAATCTACGGGCCAAATGTGAGCTGCTTGAGGCTCAAGTGGCTAAAAAGGCTAATACCACTCGAAAAGCAGTCAAACCAACACCAGGGGAACGATTCGTCACAATGGCTAACATAAGGGAGGCCAAAATGGAGCTGAGGAACAGGAGGGTCTATAGGGACTCCGCTGCAGGCGAAGAGGTCCCACAAGAGGTCCCTGGTGAAGATTTAGGGTCGGAATCGGATTCTGGGAGCTGTATTATGGTTAGAACACCACGACCTTAGTGTATTTAGCAACTGTGGTGGTTGTAGATGGCTTCATCTGAATGAGAGTGGTGTGGTGTGGAGTGGTCCGTGGGGGGGTGGTCCGCAGGGGGGGGTGAGATGTTATGAGCGCGGCCCCAGGATCCAAACTACTGGTCGGTGCCCGAAGTCTCCCTTTTTCCGTGGTTCCTATCGAGGCTATGGTGATGCGGGCATACTAAACACGGCAGTCAACCAACATACCATCCTCCCCGCCCCCCCCCCACCCCACATCTCGTACAGCAAAACCCCACCGCCACCACCTAAATCCTATATGTTCACTTATACGCTTTCAGCCCGATATCGAAGATATTCATAATATATTTAGTGCTATATATAGCCATGATCTTGTGGTTTAATCCAATATAGAATTTACCCCGCGCGGCCTACGTGATTGGCCGTCAATTACCCCGCGTTTCCTAGCCCGAATAGAGATTTTCGGGTGCTGGAGCCTCGTCTGAAGCCTTGTTCTGTATGCACCGCAGCATCGTATAGCCGCCTAAAATGCCTCCCAAACCGTATACGGAGGATCAGATGGCGAATGCCATCTTATATATCACGGATGAAGGCCTCTCGCTGCGAAAAAGCGCTCAAAAACACGGCGTCCCTGCCACAACGCTCTCTGACCGACTTCAAGTATAGTTCTATGACGGTCCCACCTGGTGAAGATTATCGTTAGGCTGACGACCCGAAAACACTCGCAATGCCACCGACCGATTCTCAAGTTCCTGCCTTGAGGTCGGAACAAATCCAGTATGTGTCGTGCCATCACATTTGAAGGAACCTGTCGCCGAGACAATCCCGTCCCTTGGCTGCCCTCGCCTGCTCGGCAGGGCAAGGAGCCGTGTGCAAGATTATGTATTTCTCTAACGTTCGTACCCAGCACAGGAGTTTCGGCTTCATAAATATAATTCCCTGGGACGCTAGCTTCAATCTCTTCCCCTGGAGCGTCCATCGAAGAAGGATCCCAGTACCATGACCCGATACCCTCCATCGTGTGTCTCGCGTCGAATGGCTGCGTCGGCTGCGAAGCATTGCCGATCTCCGTCCTAGCGCCGGTTACCAATGGTGAGCACTTCCCCACCTGTCAGGCCTATGTTGTTTCATGTACCTGGCAGAGAGATCTGAGCTAGCATGTGCATTGGGTCCTTGTGGCCCTGCATAGGGTCTGCCACAGCGGCACATGTAGTGTCGATAGCTAGGTCGTAGTTGATCGAGTCATAAGGATTGCAGTATTCCGGGTCATTATAACCATCAGACTGCTGGTGGTTGGACAGGTCCTCCTCGGCAGGGAGTCTGGGAGATTCTATGCTTGTAATTGCTCCCAGTCTCGCCACTCAGACAACTAGGGATAACCTGTCGAGGTGCCACCATCCGAGGGCCTGCCACCCATGAGTGCGAAGACTGCGCTACAGCCAAAGCTCACGGGATACCCTCACGCCGACCGCCAGACCTTCAAGCGACAAGACCTTTCTACAAGGTACATATCGACTGGGATGACTTTGAAGAGGGGATTGATGGAGCGAAACGGCTAGCAACTGTGACCTGCGAGGCTACAGGCATCGCGATCTCATACATCTGCTACAGTGGAGGGTCAGACAACGAGAATACTGAGATACTCCAGGACCTAGTTAGATACGTAAAATATTTGGACTACAATATCAAAGTTATCCGGTCAGACAACTAACTAAACACTCATCGGGTTCGTGGCCTTTTTTAAGAAAGGAACATTCCGACCAAGTCGGCCCCATCCGCCGTTGCCGCCGTCGCTGCATTGGTGGTGCTCTTAAGTGTGTTGCCTCAGCGTAGCTTACGGTAGACTGGTATCAGCATCGGAAGGCAAGCATTCACCCATCCAAAAGCCCCTACGCACTATTTGACACATTCTTCGTCGGAACCAGGGACCTTGAACGTGTTCAGGCCAATGGAATACGGATGGGAAGAAGATCCCAAGGTGCTCTACGACCTCGTCCTCTCCGTTATCCCCAAGCAATCATAGAATTCTATGCCCGCCCTGTTCTACGAGCTCATCAGTCTCAAGCTATCAGACGGCACACCCATGGAACAATGGAATTCCCGACTTCACTTCCTTCACAGCCGGCTGAAAGAACTGGATTGTGGACAAACCGACAAGGGCATCACGCTCATTGCCCTGAAGGGCATCAAGGAACGCTATCCTCAGGGGCATGGCTTTGTGCAACGAGAGTTTGACAAAGGAACCCTTTCATGGTCTGACCTTGAACAGGAAATTTACTCAAAAATCAAATGAAGAAGGCAACTCCGATATGTTGCTGGTGTCTGCAGCCGAAAATGCTTGAACACTGCGTACTGATGGTCACTTCCAGCGGAGCGAAATGATAACACTATCTCCATCTACGCAGCTCGTGCCAGAGCCAAGGACCTGAATAGGGTGCCAGACACGTATATTGACATTGGAACTCTTGATCTTTTCAAGGACGAGTCTATAACATATTAGGTACAGCTGGAGGCTGTCTTGGTATCGGCATAGTCATGTAGGTAGCGATGCACGAGATACACGAACCAGGAGCAGCGGACCTTCGAAGCGTCTACTCCGGTCTGCCTATAATGACGACCACAAATCGGCAAAGCCCAAATACATCTATTCCCTGTCTACACATCGGACAGCGGCAGGCCTTGAGCCCCTCCGATATTATCTATCGCGCGACACATCCATTACAAAAATCATGTCCTACAATAATCAGTCATTGTCTCCTGTAGTTAGCGACGTTACTTACCGCAAAGGCTTGATATGACTCATCTAATGAATGTGCCTTGGCGGATGGGGCAGTCAAGTTTGGGATAGCACTGTAGGCGTGTCGGGCACGCGCATTCTTGGTAGCATTGGTGCTCGTGAAGCTCGTCAAGTCAGCTTTGCAGAGAGGAATGTAGCAGGGGGCAAGGTACCGTCTCACAGACATGCTTTAAGCACTTCACACAAAATTCTAGAACCTGATTCCTCTTTACCAACTGGCTTTCCCTTAAAATCCGCTCATATGCCTTTTCCTCCTCCCCGAGGCCATCGTCCCCGTGTTCTTCAGCCGTGAGATCGATACATTCGCTGATGTTGAAGCTGCCATCGTCATATAAGGTGTAATAATCCTCGCGGGCTTCTGCTAACGCCCCGTCCGCTGCTGTAGGTGAACTGAGATCTACGAAGAGCACCGGGCCTTGTTGAATGATCTGGCGATTCATGGTAGAGACGAACTTCAAAAAGCAGGTTGCAAGTGGGGGAGGGGACAAGGTGATCGATAGATGTGTTGGCTTCGGGGGCATGCGTGGGCTACCATGCATCGGGACGGAGTGTGATGTGTTGTATTAATGCCTGAATATTCCTTTGAAGCGGTGTTAGAAATGCCTGTTTGATGCGGCAGAATGCAGGCGGTGGTCCTTGCTGTTTAGTTTTTGGCCTTGACTACGGACTGCAAGATGGCGAGAAGCAGAAATAGCTTCAATGTTATATGCGGAGCATCATAACAGGCCACTTTGCAAATACGTAATTTAGCTCGTATTGGATGTACATGATGAAGGCCTTGAGGGAAGGTGACCTACGAAGAGGTGACACGAAATAGGAACACAACACGGAACGAACCCCAGGTATCCGGCTACGATCATCCATTGTAGATGTTCTTTTCTCCTTGGATCCTTGAGGCTTCCGAGTCTCCTCAAGAGACAGGGTATCGCTTAACTGACACATCCCGTTGTTTGTTTCAGGATCTCACGAATACCTAGGACTTCCTCAAGAGGGATTCTCTGGTTGCGTGAGGAAAGGTGGGATGACCAAACGTCTTTTACTGGTCTCAACTGTTCCCAAGACCATTGAGTCGCCCGATTTTTTTAAGCGTAAAGCCTCTCTAGCTTATGCGTTCAAGTGTTCGACCATGTAGGTGTGAGGTTGACGGTTCAAGCACAGCCAGGTTCGTCAAGAACGTGATCGCGAATATGGTACATATGCTGTACAAACTTCTAAGAGGGTCCCCACAGCTGCAGAATCCGCAGCTTGCGGAAACCAAGCCTGGGGACTTTTATGGGCGGGACCGCACCCTCGTGATTGAATTGTAAACGTGCACGACCCCGGGTATTGATAGTCTTGCAAAGCGAGGAGGCCATATTTTCTTTTGCGAAAGGCTTAGGAAAAACCGACTGCTGCCCCAGGTACTCGCCTAGGGCAGCCTGTTTACAACAGTTGGGGGAGAGGAGCGCGGAATGAGTAAGAGAGATTTGTGGAGAAGAGCAAGTTCTTCTCATCAATCTGTCCCCGATAGATAGCTGTTTTTGAAGGACCAGATGGATTCAAAAGATCAAATGAAAGCTATCGAAACGGGAGAGTCTGTTCTTCCGGTACATTAGTATCTTCAACACCTATAGCTCCTCGTGACAGTGCAGGCGACTCTCTTCGGAAGATTGATCGACTGAAGGGCCAACAAGCAGGACACGGTCACCACCTCTACTACAGAAGCGCAACATTACCATCCTCAGAGGCCAATCATTGTCTATGCTGACGCGCTCGACTCACCAGGGACGGTGACGCTCTGATACGAAACAACAACAACAACAACCTGCTTTCTGGCCTGCCAACGGGCCTGTGGTGTGCTGGTTCGTAACAGACAGCAGGTCAACGGTGGTCGGCGCACCGTGGTTGGCCTGAGGCCACAACACACCCCCTCTAGCATGGCAGGGTGCAAAGCACACACACAGTAGGTATCTATTTATCTAGGCAAAGAAGAGAATTTAGCATGGTCTCATCTGCAAACCAAGCATTCTGACGAAGTTCTAGTGGCCTTCTCTCAGCGGCGGCTTTGTGAGACCGTCAGCAACCATAGAGGTGGATCGTACATCTTCAAGCTTGAAATACCCTTTTGTTGTACGGTCGATTATCGACTTATGTCGCGTGACAATATGGCGTGTCCTAACCGTATTTAGTGGATTCAAGACAGTAGCTTTGCGATGAGGCTGCCTGTAAAAATGACGATCGGCATTGGTTGAGGGAAGCCGAGTACTCTCATTCATCCATATGATAGGAACTAGATACAAAAGCCTGAAAGGCGTGGGAAGTGTATGGACCCTGACTGAGACACTGCCCGTAACAACCATGAAAAGGCTTTACCCCTATGCTTCAAGCAATTGAACAGCTTCTCCTACAACTCTCAACACTTGGCTTAGTGCAGCAATTAGCATGTCCCTTCGCTAAAGATATGTGCGTATCTCGCTGAGTGTTTTCTCAAGATCAAGCCTTAGGAAATTTGCGGTGTCGTGGCACCTACTCCAGACCAGAGGCTTCTCTTCCAGCTGGGCAAGCGTATAGATGTGGTGCTGATAATGCTCTTTTCCTGCTTCCAGGATTTCAATCTGATCTTGGTGCAGTGCTGCTGACTTGAGTAGGTTATTGTCACGGCGAGCATACTGGGGAGCTGGGACATGGCCTGCAGCAAGCAGCTATTACTCTATTGACGAGAATATCAAGAATAGAGAGGAAAGGAAGAGAGAGAGAGAGATAGGTACAGTGGGAGGTTGCCCCTTTAAGGGGATCCTCTGGTCAGATCTTTCCCCTATTGGGAAATATCCACTTGTCATATGGGAAGGTCTATGCAGGCCGTCACACTACTCCCCTTCTTATCAAAGTCGGTTTATGACGATAATTTCTTCCGAGTTCTCCTTACTCCTTGTGTAGAGCCTCTTATAGGCAGGTTGTCTTCCTCAAGATCAATTAGGTCCTGATCATCAGCAGCAGCCTCTATCCATTACTGTAACCTTTAAGGGGTACCTGGCGCCTTGGAATTTGTATCATGTGACGCGTATAGCCGAGTTTCTAAAGTTAGCTGGGTACCACATTGGGTCAGGATCATGACCTGTCCATTCAGCCTGGTACTCCAGCTTGCCCCGGGTTAGGCGGGAGGACAGAATTTTGTTAACTTCCCACTCAGGAACCCCATCCACGTCAACGGGAGGCGGTGGAGGGATCACCTGACCTGGGACAGGGTCATTTGGTGACCGTACTAAGCGGCTTGCGTTGATGACCCGATGAGCGTTTATCCCAGGGGGTAAGTCAATCTCAAAGGCGTTCTTATTGATTTGTTTGACAGCCCGATATGGTCCCATGTAGGGGTTGTCCAACCCATCATGTGGGCGGTCAGTACGCCACGCTCCTTTGCGCTGGCTTCCAGTCGATTGGTTGTCGGGATTTGTCAGCCTGCTTCTTGTATTTTGCTTGTGTCTTGAAGAGGTTGGTTTTGGCCCATGCCACGGCCTGTACCCGGCGTTCAGCAAACTCTTGAGCGTCTGCACGACTCAGCCGCTCTGTAACAGGCATCTTTCTTGAGAAGGGACTGCGTTTATCCCAATCAAATGTCATGATTGGAAGAAACCCCATTTCAACCTCAGCTGGAGATAAGCCAGTACTTGCATGAAATTGTGTGGCATAAGCAAAATCCAGGCAGGGCAACAGCTGAGACCAGTCATCCTGAAAGTGGCTTATGAAGGGTCGGAGCTTAGTCTGGAGGAACTGGTTGATGATCTCTGTCTGACCATCTGTTTGAGGGTGCTCTGCAGTAGAGCGGCGTAGGTCCATCCCTGTGAGCTTGGCTAGTTTATCTAAAAAGGCAGCAATGAACTGGGGACCACGGTCTGAAGTCACAGTCTCAGGGGCGCCATAGACTCTCCAAGGTCCATTGAAGTATAAGGTGGCAAGGTCCTTGGCCGTACATGTCTTATATGTTGGAATAGACCACGGGCGTTTGCCTAGTCGGTCTACCACTACATAGATCGTGTCATAGCCTAGCTTGTCTTTTGGCATGGTCTTGAAGTCCATAGATACATGTTGCCAAGGACGATCTGGTATAGGCAGGGGTTGTAGCAAGCCGGCTGGCTTGAGACGGGAATTGCGGCCTCTGCCACATTCTGGGCAATGAGCGCAATAGCGGTCTATGAAAGCACCCATACCTGGCCAGGAGTAACGCTCTGTTACTAAGGCACGCATCTTGTTCCGATCAGGGTGTGCACGGGAAGGTAGTCTGTGAATCTCATCACAAAGTCGTGTATATAGGTGCCCCTCATCAGGCACCACGAGGCGTCCCTTTTTCAGCAACAGGCCATCAATAAGACTGTAATCCTGCTGACTGTGTTTAGCTCTTTCACGCTCAAGAAGCAAGGTCTCTGAAGAGCGGTTGGCTGTCAAGATGGCATCAATAAGCTGATCTGATCAGGTGATGCTCTTGCTGGTTGGAAGGTAGTGTTAATCGCTTGGTTGAACAAAGCTTGGGTTGGTAGGCTTCTAATGAACTGTTGGGGTCCAGGTGCCACAGTGATGGTATGGCGAGAGGGAGCTTTCAAGAAGCTTTGGCGCTGCTTCTTGACTCGTTCAATCTCTGCAAGCTGTTAAGCATTGCTAGAACAGATGTTTCCAAATTAGTTGAAAGAAACATTAGAGTCAAGGTAAGAAGCCATCACTTGTATCCTCAGGGGTGGTGTCAGCTTTCGGTTCAGTTCATACTTCCATTCTGTCCGGGACAGGCCTGAAGACAGAGCTTCAAAGTCTTGGGATAGGTGGGTGTTCAGAGACACTGCACCTGCCACCGCTAGAGGCAAAACTGCTTGCAGTGGTGATCGGAAGACAAGGCTTCTGATCTGGTGTGGATAAGTCTTGATATTATGTCACGGCGAGCATACTGGGGAGCTGGGACATGGCCTGCAGCAAGCAGCTATTACTCTATTAACGAGAATATCAAGACTAGAGAGGAAAGGAAGAGAGAGATAGAGAGATAGGTACAGTGGGAGGTTGCCCCTTTAAGGGGATCCTTTGGTCAGATCCTTCCCCTATTGGGAAGTATCCGCTTGTCATGTGGGAAGGTCTGTGCAGGCCGTCACAGATAGAATCGGATGCCTGAACCATAGTTAGAACGCAGATCATCAATGGCTACCAGCAATGAACATCCGAACCCGGCGGGCGCTTTCTGCTTCGCAGGGTGGCTGGATAGTGAGCTTGGCGTATTAGCTTGAGGTTTTCTCGCTTCCGACATGCACGTAAATGAGCAGTCGCGAATGACTCACATTCAATCTCACTTTATCCCATGCATGTGGATTACACCACGTCACTGCTTCCTGATTTAAAACTCCACCGTAACCTGCCCCTTTAGAACCCATACCCAATAAGAAATGTCGATGTTATCAGAGAGATCCCAGGCCGTGGTTCTGAGATCATCGTTCAGCTGAAGTATGCCTTCCTTGCTGCTGGTTGCGTAAGTCGTTACGAGCAACTTATGTTCAGTGTATATTGTTGCCCATATCCTAGCAACCGCGGACAAGGCTCCGCGGATAAGGGGTGAATTGAAGGTGGCCACCAAGGTAAGGCGTCAAGGTGGGGGTATAGGTGGTGAGAGGCCACATGTGTCGCAAAGGGCAACTATGAATATACAGAAGATCGAAGCATAATATATGCTGGGAGCTTATTGGTTTACGGGGGAGGGTAAAACCCGGCTACAACGTTTGGTTATTACACGTTTAATTTGTGGCCACGCGGCTAGGCAATGAATGCAACCGTCCACGATACCCACGGTCATCAGGTTGTAGCTAGGCGGTGGCTGACGGACCACCGTCTCTAGATCCATAGGTTGGCAGTCTCTGCTGGATTCTGGGATGTTTAGGAGTCATCCTCAAGGCGCGCTCCAGGCTGGCCATTTGGTGAGAGATGTGTTTCATCCGATGGCCCAGCTTGGATGATACCAAGTGGCAACGAAGGATTGTTCAGGAATCAGCGACATGGTAATACACGTGCATGGGATGAAGCCAACCGCGACCACTCATGTACGCGCTTGCCAAAAGCGTGAGGATGCCAAGCTGAGACGCCAAGCCCAATCTCGTCGGGGCCAGCGGAAGCCGGTGTTGATCCGCCAGATAGAGCTAAGCCTTGTTTGTACTAGGGTAAAGGTACATATAAAGATGGCGGAACCTAGTTATTCCGCCCCGATCCAATCCTCTCTGGCACAAAAGAGGCTCTCCCCAACTCTTGATTCTTGGACCTTGTACAGCTAAATCTGAGGACACGCTCCAGCTTTTTGTACAAGAGCCAGAGCCGCGTCTGATGACAGAGTCGCACTCCATGACCACTGCGCCGACAAATACCATTCCACGATTGTAGCAGTGACGCAACCTTGATGGCCAGGTGGGTTGAGGAGCTCAAAGACAGAATCTAAGCACGAATTAAGACGGTACGCGTGCTTTTTCGGTGGCCAAGTGAATATCTCGTTGGCCTGATAGAGTTGCTTGATCTCACCGTCGAGTTCGAGATCGCCGTCCGGCTGTAGCTGCTCTCTTGTGGGCGACGAGAGTGGCCTTGATTTTCTGTGCCCGGTGCGTACATGTGCCTTGGCTTAAACAACACTTCGGACAGTGCCTATCTCCCTGGCCCTGCCGTTGCCGACGCCGATTGAAGGTCTCATTAATCTGAAACCGTGGAACCCAATATGTCTGCATTCATTGGTCATCGATCCCTCTGGCCTGTGGTCTGCCAATGAGTCATGATGGCGCTCTCACTTCAGCATCCAGGAGAGCAACCTATTTCAAGTATCCCATCCGACATGGAACAAAATGAGATAACTCAACATTCGTAGTTGTTAAGCCTGGGACCTAGTATAGATGTTCACAAAACTGACTCAATATCGTTAAATGACATGTGCCTCATTTAACGATATGCGACTATCCAAGCTTGATATAAACGTTCTCCTCGTGCTCTTTGCGGAATTCGCTATTCCGAGCCCGCTACCACATATACGCCTTGAACAGGACCTGGCATCACTGTTACGATCATCACGAGTACGGCCTGGATAATATGAACATCTTCGCAAACGAGTAGAGTCGAGTCAAAGTCGCCGCCATAAACGACGCAGACATGCTTTCGAATCCGCCCTAACAGCTTTCACCATACCACTCATTCTAATGCAGTCTCGTCCAACGCTCATGTTCAAGGAGGGGACCTCGACGGGTCCCAGTATGCTCTCCAGAACCTCCAGCGTAGGGGTACATGCTCTCCATCTGGCCTCTGCACCACAGCCAGAGCATCGGCAGCATCCCTACGGCGGCCCAACCACGAGGACTACAGGTGCGGCCGGTTTGATAAGAAGGATAAGCAAGGCCTGCGACGAGTGTCATCAGCGGAAGATCAAGTGTGACGGACAGAATCCTTGTGCGCACTGTATAAGTACACAACCCTTTCGAGCCAAAGCTGGAAACAATGGGAGCTGACATGTCCAGAGTTCAACCTCGCCTGCCAATACACCCGCAAGAGGAAAAAGCGTACAATGACCCGACGGAAAGACTTTGCCCAACGAGCAACCACACAAGCAGCGGCGGAAGCAGCAAATGGCGGACCAAAATCACCAGGCCAGCTTGATGACAGCGGGTCACCTCTAGAGCAGCGAACAAACAACCCATCTTCCGCCAAATCGGAGCAAGATCAACACGCAACTTATATATCTTTAACGGATGACGCCGTAGGCCGAAGTCAAATGACGGGGAGCATGAACAACTTGGCCGAGTTGAGCTCTCACCATGCTTACATGCCGAGTCATCCAGGGGCCTTGGAAAGGGACCGTCTGGACATTCCTACCTCGTTAGGTCTCAATGGGTATGGAAACGTCCAAAACCCCTTTGATAGGCAAGTCATGGGTCATATGATGAGTGGCGCCATACACGCGACATTTAATTCTAGTCAAGGGCTGTCCATGCACTACGTGCGGCCCGATGGCCAGAACAAGGGTTTGCCAACCGACACCCAGCCTAACGAGGCATCAGGGCCACGCCCAGGCGGTGCGCACTTCGTTCCTAATGCCCACAATTCGCAGACGGTCGGGCCGTGGCTTGATCCTCGGATGTTCATGACAGAGAATGGGGGTCCACCTACTACGCCAACTAGCCCCCTCACACATCTCAGCCAGTACCATTCGCCAAGCAATCGCAAGAATAGCAGAAGCCGGTCCACTTTGCAGGATAGACATAATGATCCACTCTTGCAGGCCGATTCCGACAGCGACATGCCTATAGATCCTGCTATTGCGGCACTCACTTCTACCATCTTCCGGAACGGCCAGTAATTCCCATATGTGCGACGTTGATAATGGCACCAGGTTTTGCTAACATAGATCTATTTACAGAGTCTAAAGAACGTAATAAAGAGCCATTGATAGTTGAATGCCAGCCCGGGCTGAGAAGTAGGTTCTCCCGCAACGCCAATCGCGAGGGTAATTGTACCAAACCGATGAACATGCCCGAACCTATGCAACCGCGTCAATACACCCCTTCCGAGAGCTATCTAAAGCCCGAGTCCGGGATGATGTACCTCAATCCAACCCCAGTCCTACCTGAATATAATCTACCAACACACGACTCTGGCCACATTCGAGCGGTCCAATGTCAGCCCAAGCCGCAGTGCTGGGAACACGGTTGCAATGGGAGGGGGTTCTCGACATTTAGTAATCTGTTGCGACACCAACGAGAAAAGTCGGGGAGATCCAAGGCCACATGTCCGAATTGTGATTCCTAATTCACCAGAACGACTGTAAGTAGCCCATTCTCGGACAGAACGAAGTAGTCACTGGCTGACTGGAATCAATAGGCGCTCAATTTCCACCTGAAACAAAGCGAGTGCATACAGACGGAACTCATTTGACTTTTGCGCAGCGTGGATGGTGGTGTCTCAGTCCCTTAAAAGCCGTCCATCCCCCCTCCGGCTTCGCCGGCAAAGACTGGAGTCCCAGCAGGTAATTGCCGACCCAGAGCATGACGAGCTCTTGCAGCTGCTCCTCGGTGTCGGTATCTGTCTCCGAAGCGTCTCGCTCAGTTCGCCGTCAGTGTCATACTTGGCTCGTTCTATCTCGCGTCAAAGCCGAACTATATCGGCGTCGCATGTCTGCTCGGATTTAATAAGCATCCGGGCTAGGGCGGCTCGAGCGCCGTTTGCCTGGTTGTTCTCACGCCGAGACGTGAGGACGTCATAGACGTCGCTGAACGCTAGCCTGGCGAGAGCATTCGCGGGCGTAAGGGTGGCAAAAGGCGTGGTGCGGCATTTGACACCGGGAATAATTCTGACCCCTCCAGAACCTATCCTTATAAATACGGCGCTGACTGCAGAATTTGATGATAGAACCGCCAGCGACGATGTTTGGGAGTACCAACAGTTTGGCTGATGCGCGGCTGATGCATGGCTGATGTAGCATTCGTGGCCAGCATTGGTGGGGCTCAGCGCCAACCAATCGTAGCACACTTATGTCGTTATAGTACGAGCTGAAATCATGATTCTTTATTGACCTATACTTGGTTTCATGGCTCTGAGCCCGAAAAAGTGGCATTGCGTCCAGGAAGCTGATTCTAAAGAGGAGGGATTCGATGGTGGGCAGGACGTGACCCTCACAACCATGATCACGATGCTACTGCACGGCCGAAGCTACTCCTCGCCGAACAAACAGAGAAAGGCTGCGAAATGGGTCATGGTTGACGAGGAGCAGGGTGTCTGATCCCCATCGATCGTTTCTCGCTTCTCCTTGTCGACCCATCCGACGGTGTGGCTGCCTCCGAAGTCGATTGCCCAGATGTTGTCTTCCCGGTCTACCAGTATGTTCTGTGGCTTGGCGGCAGTTTGTTGAGGCTGCAGCTTGTTACTCAACCACCTCCAAAATATTTGTATACAATAAGAGTGGGGCCATATTTTGACTGGCGAGTTCAACAAAAAAGACTCACCACTTATCGGCTTAGGCCATTATAAACATGGTACGCTCCTATACTCTGGTCCCTTAACATATCTTAATCATGAAACTCGGTATTGTTGTGCTGACGCAATAGTCACACAAGAGATCCAAAAGAGACTTAACATGGCTATGTGAAAGTCCAAAACCGTTGCTTATATGCTGGGTGGACCGTGGGCACCGGTGATATGAGCGCCAGGGCCAGAACAGGCGCCGCCTGATTATTAGAAGGACCTAGGGGTGGCAAGATCAACCTGGAACACAAAAGTCGCTTCTAGATGTGTCCAACTTTGAACCTCCATAGGCAGACAGATGAGGCCATAGCGACATAATGAAGTTATGCTGAGCAATTCTACTCTGTATTCTTTTGCGCTCGGCCCGATTAGTGATTTTAGTCCAATCCTCATTAAGTTTAGCAAAGATGGAGAAGGCACTGCTCGACGCGCTCTGGCATTCAGCTTTTCATTACTTTTTCTTCTACGGCCACATACGGCTGCTTCGTTTGCTTTGTTTCAGGACCTTGTTCCTGCTGCTGGCCCCGTAACGGATGTTGGTGTTTTGGTGGCTCGCTGTGGATATAATTCTGTCACCAGGGGTATTCAGACACGACTTGCAATAAGAACACTCAAAGATCGCCAGAACAATAAAATACGCAAAATGTCTACCCTCATCATGAACTTATCCCCACCATTACCATCTCAGCTTCTACAAGGCGGCCAATCATCAACATAAGAAACTCGTACTCTTATTCGCCTTTATGGCGTGTGGCTTGGGAGGGGTCGACCAGGTCACCCTTACTTTGCTGTCCCATAGAATATTGGTGTCAGACGACATATGCGACAAGATAGCAGATGTGACAATCAGGCCTGCAGCTGCGCTGGCCATGGCTGATGGGATAAAATATCTAGATTCAACGATATCTAAGGATTAAGAGGCAATGTCGGAAGAGAAAGGGGAAGCTAGGGATATATATGTACATGAATATGAGGAGGTATTATATAATACCGTAACAGCAGAGAATATGCCAAACACTGGACGGATTTTCTGCTTGATGGCGGAGGGAGCGTCGCCATAGAGCTCGAACGGTTCCAGGACGATTCATACAAACTTTATCAAGGCATGTAAGGCCACCTGGAAAACGCATGTTATGCCCCTGGGCAAAGTACCTGGTTTAAAGGAATATATAGGGCTGTTTGAGGTTAGACTATATTTATCCCCGTGGCTTACAGAGGCTGAGGATAGATCACAAGACGTACAGCAAGGAGACCACCAAGGAAGACAGACATTGTAATTTTGCGTTTCTTGGAACCAGTTTCTGGTGTTCTGAAGAAGCTTTATCGAATAGACTGGTTCACTCAACTACCATGAGCAGGAACTGGACCACGGGCACCATTGTCCAAGATAGCCACCCCCCTCCTCCACCGCTGGAAGATGGTCGACTTCCTGCCTGAGCCTAGCTCTTAGCAAGAATTGTTTTTTTGTTTGCTTGCCCTGAATATAGAGGTCATTACAAGGCGCGCCGGTAAGATATGATGGGCTTTTGCCACCGCATCTCAGATTGTATGTCGCGACAGCCAGATGCCACAAGGTTAGCTCTCTCCTAATGACGGCTATAGTCTGCAAAACCCGTATTCTGACTCTATAATCATGATAGCTTCCCTGTTGGGACGATGTGCGTGTGAAGCGCGCATAATACAAGCAGTTGGTGTACAGAACGGGAGGAGCGGCTACTTGGTTCTGGCCTTTTTGTTATGGCCACGCTTCACCACGTGGCTGTCACGGCCGCCGACACTCTCCCAGTATCGATCCAGTAGCTCCAGCCCTACATCCCTGAGCTTGGTCTTAGCCTCCATTGACATTCCACCCCGCGTGTTAGGATGACCAACCCACTGTACCTTGAACAGGAAAGCTCTTCCCGATTTCCTCTTGTGGCCAAGGATCCTGAACATGTGATATCTCTCAGGAGGAGGGTTCTTAGGTATGATAGTGTATGCCAGTATATTTCGACCGTAGACCGACCGTCTGTAGGCAGAGGTCCGAATGAAGGCACAAATGTCGGAAATTTATATGTGAGTAACTTCTGTCAGATAAAACAGATAAGATCATCGTGCGCAGAATGACTGCACACCTGACCCTTTTGGTCTAGGGGTAAAATCCAACAGCTTCAGACGTGGTAACACGCTGAGAGGCGTCAGACGTCTTGAACAGACGCTGAGAATGGTTCCTGTCACCTCGGTGGTCCCCGAAACGCGTTAGCAGTGTTCCACGGCAATGAGTTGGGCGCATATCCCTGGAGGCAGACGGCTATTGTGACATTTGATGGCCAATAATTCCCAGTCGTCTCTCGAGTTGCCTTACGGTTTGCCTGTAGTAACCAGAGCATGTAAGACAAGCCGATGGCTCCTCAGAATGATTGGTTAACAATGGCAGTTAGACAGGCACCAAACCCCACCGGAGGCCTATCTAAAGCCGTGTAACCAAGGGTGTCCGCATCCATAGGCCAAAAGCCCACGGAAGGATCGGAGGATACCAAAGCAAGGCTAGTACGAAGGGATTCGGAAATTGCCAGAAGAACGTGCAAATACCTCTACCGTCCTCGGCCGCAGTGCGACAATAATGGGAGAATGCAGGAGCCGCGGACGAGTATGGGACCTGGTGGGTAAGCCAGAACAGCCGGCACTATGACGACCACTTCCAAACCTCGGTCGGTGGCCTATCCTGCAGCTGTCCCTGTTTCTCATCAACATCTGGCAAATCCCGGCGTCCCTGGCGCCCATTGTAACTATAGCAGTTGGCAACTTAACCTGAACGACACGCTCCCGGTGCGCAAGCGGCGGTCGTGGTGTAGGCGGAAGCTGTGAGCATTCAAACTGTTCTGTCTGTCCTATCTCGTGTAACAATATGAGACGGCAGCACGGAATCTACCAATGTTCAACAATATTCTTCCACCCAACTCTTGTGAAATCAGCCAACTCTGTTCAATGCGGACCAGAAATTGGAGTGTTCGTTCATAACAATTTTGCAAGCCTGTTGTGCGTCGGTTTTTCCGTATTCCTTTCCAATCAGGGCGCAATATATACGCCTTAGAAAGAGTCTTCTCGTGCACGTCAGGTATGTGGCGGACACAGACGAGCACGGTAGCCATGTACGCTTTAAAACGTGCAAGAAACCTTAGTGGCTGTCAGGAAGCCCGGACTGCAAGCATGGACTGGGGCATGTACATATAGCGAAGGTTTACCCCCATTCTGTATTGCGCTTCCTCGCACAACAACACGTTATATTTCTACCTATAAGTTGGCCTTCTGACAGTTTGTTATTAAACAGAAAATCCATGGAAATCTACTGGGTTGGCCTCTCTAGAATGTCCTCACAAGCGGCATCAAAGCGAAGGTTCCAAAGGCGCACTGATTGCATGAAACGCTCCGTCTTGTCCATCCCGCGATCAACTCCAAATATTGTAACAATAAACTCGATGCCAGAGTTCTTGCCGAGTTGCGCAGCCTCCCTCTTCTTGCTGGCCTTTAGCATGGGAGACTCGCACTTCTTGAGGAGAGCCCGGAGCTTGCCCATCAGGCGCTCGCCTGACTCAATGAACTCCTTAACCATCTGCCGGTTTTCCAGGATCCTAACAATAGGAGCCATCTCTTCGGAGCGCTTGACTTTGCCAGAGAACTGGATAAGCAAGAGCCATAGCTCTGAAAGGTGGGCGGTATTGGATCGATACAGACACGAGATCCAGATTTGGCTTTTGGGCTGAGTGGACGGAGTGGATAGAGGCGCTTCCAGGAACTGGATCATGAGCAGAAAACGGGATTATTGGCAGGAACTTATGCTCTCACACAGGGTGACGTCTGCGCCCCTCTCCCCTTAACCTTGACCTTGGCCGTGACCTTGACCTTGTCCTTGAACGTCTACCTGATCGTCTAGCCTGGTCGTGTCGGCTGCCGAGGCAATGCTGGTGACTTGTTTTAGCACTAGCTTGTGGATATTATTGGGCAGGACAGGACAGAAGAACCCCAGTTGTGGAGAAGCAGCGGCACGTGTGGCAGCTGGAAGATGCATGCGTCTCTGTCGTGTTCCTACTTGGATTATTGGATTCATAGCACTCATGACCGATCATTCTCAGCCGGCTCCATCCATAGGCCGGCAGTCTCTGCGGGCTTCTTGAATGTCTATGAATCATCCTGAAGGCGCCCTCGCAGGTTTCCAAACCGGCCATCGATGCCTCGAGGGGCTATGAAGGATAGATCAGGGGGCAGTGACGTGGCGTAATACACATGTATGGGAAACGCGCTGTAACATTGATGGCCAATCATTCTTAGTCATCACTCGAGCTGCCTTACGGTTCGCCCGTAAGAACCAGAGCATGTAAGACAAGGCTATGGCCCCTAGCCTACCCTGGCCTGTGGTCTATTTGCGAGTCATCCGGATCGTCGGATTGTATGTTGCCAATATGTGAAGACCTCGGGCGTAAAGGCTTGGCCGTGCCATAATGAGGTTTAGATATCTCCTGAGAATGATTCTTCTAGCTGACACAGCTACGAACATTCCATATCATCTCGACTACCTTTTCGGGAAGCCTGCTGACGAGGGATGACAGCCTCATTACCATCCTCAAAGGCCCATCATCGTCGACCCTGACGCGCTCGACTTACCGGATGTTACGGTATTACATAATACCTCCACATATTTATGTACATATATACCCCTAGCTTCCCCGTTCTCTTCCGACCTTGCCTCTTCTTCCTTAGATATCGTTGAATCTAGATATTTCAACCCATCAGCCCTGACCAGCGCAGCTGCAGGCCTGATTGTCACACCGGAGACAGTGACCCTCTGATACGAGGAAGAGGCTGCGGTGAGAGCGAACGGCGGAGACCTTCGTGGGGATCCTTCGCCTGGTCTCCTGTCTATGTCGGCATACCCAAAACCGCAACCGCCCCAGATGCATGGTAAGTGTTTCTTTCCTGTTGATATGCTTCTCAACGCCACTATTTTGAAATCGGAAGTGTGAGCGGATTGGGTGGTGTTGGTCGCCGCTTGGTCGAATTCCAACTGACTACCCCGCGATCTCCAGTATTTGATTCATCGAGGTCGTACCAAGATCTCAGTATCAATATTCAGCAGAGCAGTTCGCTGCGCAACAGTCTGATAATGCGGCGGAGGGTCCGCATGAGGGTATCACGCGCAAGGAGTCAAAACCACCTGATCAAAGACCGAGCCCACCCAAACCGGAGCCCGATCAGCTCACCGACGCTGCTACAATTAGCTACGGCTACCCTCTGGCGGCCCATCAGGCTGTCGTGTCAAGTTATGATGCAGTCTATACCAGCAATGACAGCATGATCGGCCCCTGCCACCCCTCGTCGTACGCGGCCGACTACCCGTGACCACCACTGCTCAAAGCTCCGTCATGGAGTCCCTACGGGTCGTCCATGACATCTCGCAGTCCCACTGCAATTCACCACGCAACGATAACGCGCCGGAGCATCACGACTCTGCCCATGCCGATGTCGAGCGCACCGCAGCTGATCCGGACCAGCACGATACAGACGTCCGGATCCTCCAGTCCCTCGCAGATGAAACCGTACGCCATGTACTCGGCCAAGGCGAACCTCAAGATCAACGGCGACCTGGAGGCGATGGCAAGCAACTGGACACAGGAGGAGTGGGAGAACCGAAGGCGCATAGTCATGTTCAATAGGAAGCAGCAGGGCTCAACGCTGTCGACAAGCTTCAAGCCCGTCACCGTCAGTGAGACAACAGCATCTGCATCAGCTGCATATAGCCAAGACTTGTAGTTGTAGGGGGAAAGATGGATAATGACTCATGCGTTCACTGTTATCCTATAAGCATTGAAACGGTCGTGCACTCGACAATTTCTGTTTTATTTAGTATCGTTTTATCGTTCCATTTTTCTGGATTTGTTAGGACCACCTATTCTTCTACCGGGTGGAGGACCCGAAGATGAGAATTCCCTTTCTTGAAAGCACAAAGTACATCCGTTTCTACGTACTACGACAACAATGCGCTAATCGATTGGTAGATTGTTTTAATGCCGTCTCCTGATTTTTTAGAACTGTGTTACTGGAATCAAGACTTCATCTCCCGAAAATCGCCTTCAAGTCTGTCCCAGAGTCCACCACAGAATCCACCAGTACCTACCAGTTTGGCATTTAAAGACGGTGACGCTCGGAAGGAGATTGCACGACTCAGGCAGAAACGCAAGAACCAATATCGCACCACAACGTGTGCTTACGTCGCATGGTAACTTGCTTATCCATCAAAGAATAATATCCTCTCCTAACGGCATATAGTCTTCATTGCTATCACTACATGATGGAATGCGACACAAAAACAAGACCACATATCTACATCTGCAGGTGTTGCGCTGGTATTTCTAGACGCTGGTGAAGTGTGTATAAATCCCGCCAGGGCATTTTAGGTGTGATGCGGCTACGTGTTTCTTTTGCACAGTAAGGAGGTCAAAAGGTTGCGAATCTGCTGTATTGTGTTGTTGACATGAAAGAGGTAGTGCGTAGCTGCAGCGGATGCTAACAAGACTTAGCTTGAGCCACTCAAGCCTGAGCCTCGTGCATGTCCAATTCGACTTGTCATGTTGCAGTTAAAGTCATACAGCTTGATGCATCCATGGATTTGTGTCCGTGTGCACCAGCGAATGAGCATGCCATTGGCCAGCCCCTGGTTGAAACCGTCGATAGATTGTCCAGCAACTGTTCAGCCACGCATTTCACCGAATGGTTCGCGCTACGATATAATCGGATGCCTGAACCACAATTCAAACGCAAATGACCCAAGACTGCCAGCAGGACGTAAAATAATGAGCTTGGGGTTCTAGTTGGTGTTTCCTGGCGTGCGACATACGTGTAAATGAGTGGTCGCGAGTGACTCGTAACCAGCCTAACTCTGTCTCATGCATGTGTATTACACCACGTCATAGCTTCCTGACCAATCTTTTATACCGGCTCGACAGCATCGAAGATGCGCCCTGGCCAATTTTTTTCCAGGTCTGGTAGGTGGTGAGAGGCCGCATGTGCCGCAAAGGGCAGCTATGAATATACAGAAAATCGAAGCATAATATATGCTGGGAGCTTATTGCTTTGCGGGGGAGGGTAAAGCCCGGACACAACGTTCGGTTATCACAGGTTTTATTATATTATCACACGACTAGGTAATAGATGCACTCCCCCAACCGTCCATGGTACCCGCGATCTTCAATTTATAGCCTATGCAATGGCTGACGGACGACCATGTAAAGCAGCGCGCATGAATGCCCATGCCATGATGTCTACATCCATATGTCGGCAGTCTCTGCTGGCGTCTGGAATGTCCATGAGTCATCCTAAAGGCGCCCTCCAGGCTGGCCATTTGGTGAAAGATGTGTTTCATCCGATGGCGCATCTTGTATGATATCAAGAGGCAACGAAGGATTGGCCAGGAAGCAGTGGCGTGGTAATACACGTGCATGGGATGAAGTCAACCGCGACCACTCATTTACGCGCCCGCCCAAAGCGTGAGTAAGCCTCGTCCGTACCAGTGCAGCGGAATCATCTACTTGAACACGTACATATGTAGACGGCGGAACCTGGTTATTCCGCCCCAGTCGATCACCTCAACAAACCGACTATCAGGCACCACCCATGTTGGATTGTCACTGTAGAAGCTACGAGAAAGGTCAATGTTATACAATAAATCGTAGCTCCATGGCTTCTTGCCAGGCACCATCGAGGCTCCAATACAGCTGATTTACAAACTCTTGCCCTTCTTGCTGTGCAAGGGTACTCATGGCAATGGCTGTGGGCATCGTAGTTTTTCTGACAAGAAGTCGGCATTAGGCGATATAAACAAGGGCGAGTGTATGGTTCTCCGCCCTTAGCCTACCAGGCTGGCATTTATATAACATACTGTGATAGAACAGATCCGGTCTAGACTGGTTTCGTTGATGCAATGTGACGTCTGCTCGGCTTGTTATAGCAAAGCGCACCTAGTCTGGGCACTACAACAAGGCCTCCGTGGCACCCTTGCTGTCATGGGCTGTATGCATGAGTCAGACAATCCATTGATCCCTTTACCGCCATCGCCTGCCGCTTGCCCCATATAGCCTGCAGCTATGAGCAATATGTGTTAGATACAAGCGAGTTGAGATCATTTTGGTTGTGAAGTGTATTCTGTTGTTCTTCTTCTCCTTCACCCCTTGAGCGTGTAGAAATTGATGATCTATTGGGTGGGTCAGATGCCCTGTGCGTCTCTGCCCTATTAGAGATCATCCGGTGTCTATTTCCGGCTCCCATTTAGCACATATGCTTATTAATTATCTTGTCTAGGTCAAGCCTTCATGAGGTAGTAACGTCCCCTACAGAGGGGAAGCAAGGATCCGAATCTGTCAGGACATGCGTAGACTATCGCTTGCCCTCGTTCAATGTTATCTATTGATATCTCACATTATGAAATCGCACATGGCAGCATCTTGTCACGTAGCAAAATTTATGGTCGATCCTCCTGGTTATTCCTGTTCTTCGGAGGATTCCCCGGTACATGATTCTCCTCCTGGATATCCCTGTGATGACCAACTATCTTCAGCCGCCTTTTAACTTGCCTTACTTTTACGTTATAACGTAAATCACTTTCCAGAACTGAAACTGTGATATCCAAGATGTTTGGATTCATAGGTCAACGGCCTCTCTAGCTTATGCAGGGAGTGCTGTTGACAGTAATGTGATGGTACGTATTTGTTGATTGGCTGCGTCTATCCCGTCCCGGTCGGATCTCACCATGGCCGTACCCTAACCACCCATCCAGTTACCAACCTCCTCTTTTCGTATCCCCAGGTGGAGTACTCATGCCGAGCAGGAACGAGCCGCAAAGACTGACAATTTCTTTCAGCGATTCGGCATCTTCTTTGATGAACGTGGTGGACTCGGCAAGCGAGGGTGGGCGATAGGTCGTTGCTATGAGAGCAAGCACCTCCGTACAAAGCTCAGCGTCTTCCGATACGCGAACTTATTGTATCATCTGTCGATAGAGGGAATCAAGACCCGACAGGAAAGACTTGATTTTCTGTAAAGCATTCCCTTGGCGTGTCTTCGCAAGTTCCTGACAGACCAAGGCGACCCAGAGAAAAGTGCTGTCAGCGTTCGACGACAAGTACTGGCGTACTTCGTCAGCAGTGTTGTCTCGATAGCTCTTCCGTTGTATAAGTTGGGACACCTTGTGCAAGATGTAGCTGTCCACAGCCGCTGCGACCGACTTCGCATTGACTTCGAGTGATAGCCTGTGCGCCACGTTGGACAGCTCTTCTTCAATCTGCGGCCAGTTGCGGCTTGAGACGAGGCACTTAGCGCAGGTTGCTTGCGAGGTCTCGACAATCAACTCGAGTAGCTGCGGTAGGCCACCTATACACTCGTCCAGTGCGTCGATAACGAGGCAGATGCCCTGCAGCTTCGGGTCGCGGAGCATATTCGTGAAGATCTCGGATAACGCATACCAAGCATTCTAGCCCTGGAACAGCCCCTCGCCAGCGACATCGTACTTCTTTTTCATATGTGATACGAGGGAGGCGTCTTGGTCAAGTAGCATGTATATCAAGCCACGCAGCACGGCCGTCGCATTGTTGATGCGCTCGTTGATGGCTTGGCAGAAGAAGTACGCTAGACGGCTTCCTTGGGCGAGCCTCGTTTCGAGATGATCGACAATGCCACACAGGAGCATGGTCTTGCCCTTTCCCAGGTCGCCCTTGACCCAGAGCAGCCGCTGGTCCTCGTGGTCGCGCCATTGGCGGAAGTCGGGGTTGCTGAGCACCCAGACGGACGAGTCCGCAAGCAGGCCGCCCTTGGTTGGCACCGTACTAGGCGATTAATATGTATCCTTCCGATCCAAGCTCGGGCCGCTGTGCCATCAGGGAAACTCTATTGTATATTACTGTACAGTGGCTCATTTTTGCGGTGGCAACCGGTATCGTTGCAAGAGGAGAATGATTGCCCGCCATTGTCGCCCTACATTTTTAAAATCAGTGAATAAAACTAGGGCCGATGAACAGACGCCTTATCAACTGACCGGTCAGTTCTTTAACATTGCTCTTCTGTTTTTTGCTGCTCATTCTCGATATCGGCTTTTAGATTATACCGAACTTGGTCGTATAAAGCGTCATTTTGCTTGGGAGCCGTAATGAACACACGGATGGATTCTGAATCTTCGCTCCTCCAAGATATCATTTCGAGAGATTACCTCTGGGATACCGGGTGTAACCCAGCAAGTACGATATTTTCGAAGGCATGCCTTTAGGTCTTCTGATGCCGCAACAGACGTGCAAGAGCAGAAATACGACGTGTGAGACTTTCAAAACAAAACTCGAAGACGGTCCAGTTATGGCTTTTTGTAAAGGTTTGAAAATGGCCCTAGCGTTGGTCTTACTGGAATCGCCAAAAGTGAAGCTTATTCAAGGTACACATGTGGCGCACTACTCTAAAAGCAGGGACCTAGCAGCTCACCAACTTTATAAAGGAAGCGTATAACTCTATGAATTACAGATATTTTCTGCTCAAGATCTAGTCCCTGCCCATATTCCAATTCCGGCTCATGATCTAGAGCCTCACAACATGTCTGTTCGTAGACACAAGATCATAAGCTGAAGATGCTGTATTGACACGCAAAGATGGACGCAATACTGCACCTTGGCTATGAAGCGGTCCACATAATAAACGTCGTCTTCCCATACCACACTCCTTTTCCACCATTGGTTGAACTCTTTCTTGCCCTTTCTCTTGAGATCTCTCTTGACCCAAGAGATTATAGGAAGGTTTGTTGTGTCTGTTTCTAGCATAGCACCCTCTTTTGCTAATATATCGGCAGCTTCGTTACCATCAATATCTCTGTGTCCAGGAATCCACTTGACGGTCACTCCAGGAGTGTGTGCTGTGGCGAGTTCTTGAAATCGCAGAAAAATTTTCTGTGATGTCTCGGGTGGAGTCCCATTGAGCCCATCCACCATTGATGTGTTGTCCAGGCAGACATATAGCTGTTTTCTGTGTCCAATTGCCCTGGCTGCTGCAAGACCTTGGAGAGCACCATGGACTTCAGCATCTACTACTTCTGCTTAGAGATATCTGCCCTTTTCCCGGTATATTTCTTGTGTAGTGCCGCCTTTCCTGATGGTATAACCCCATCCAGTGCAGGTTGTGCCTTGGTCGTCCAATTATGATGCATCTGAATAGATGACAAGGTCAGTGTTCACGTTTCTTTCCTGTAGTCATTGCTTAAAGAGCTCTATTTCTTTGTCTTTGTCTTTACGGACTGGGGGCTTCTTCCATAATGGCCTGGTAAGTGTTGGTCTCTGGAAGTCAGGGATTAGCTGGAAGCTCCTTTGTAGCCTTGTTGGATTCTTGCGAGCTTGTATTTGGAGCCTGCCAACAAAAGGGTGTCTCTGGTTTATTCGTCCTAGTCAGAGGCCGTGACGTCGTCTTATTGACTCTGCAAGAACTCCTGCTGGGGGAATCTGCGATTCAAAGTATAGGATATATCCAGGGTGTATTTTCCAGACTGGCAAGATAGCCCTGATCGCCGTTCGTAATACGGCATTTATTGTTCTAGTGTTTTGTTTGATGTACCTAACATTGACTGACAACAATGGTATCGGCATCTCTGGGATGAGTTGTATCTGTTGTGTCGATTTGCATTGTGGTGTCTTTGTTATTGTTGCTGGGTGTGGACCCAGCTTGGTTTCTGCCTGCTTCGTTGAAGGCCTTGGATCTGGCTCTTTCTCCGGCTAGCCTTATTTCCTGGATTTGCTCCCATGTGTGCTTATGGATGGTACCTTTCACAATCTTGGGGCGGGCAGGGCATTTGTTGAAATTGGCAGCATGAGGTCCTTTGCAGTTGACACACTTTGGGATTGGTTTTTCGCACTCTCCCTGGTGTACTGTGTTGGCGCAGTGTGCACATACTTGCTTTTCGCATTGGTAATTCCTACCATGGTATCTGAAGCAGCTGGCACACTGGTGAACCTTGGGGGTGTGTTGAATATGCCTTGAGGTCATTGAGTGGGCAAAAAGCGTGAATGGTTTCCTTGCTGCACTGGGCAGAGAGATTATCCACGTGGTTTCTGGATCAGAATCAATCGTGTTCTTTAAGAGTATGCACCTCAGAGGTCTGTCGCCTGTTTGTGCTTCAACTTCATCAGCAATAACAGTGTCGGTAATATCGATTGTGAACCCTTCTGTACTGATGACCTTTCTTGGGCATCCATCGACCTTGTAATGATGCCAGACTGTGTGGGTCTCAATCTTTTGTGCCTTGAGAATGTCGGCAATTTCTTCTTGGAAAGCCAGAAGCTTAGCCTGAGTTGGCTTGTCCCTTGGGTGTAAGGTAAATCCAGAAGGACACCGTGTCACTTCTCTAAGCTCCTGGGGGTGGAGCTTGAGTCTTCTGTTCAGTGTAGACTTGATTCCATAAGGCTCTAGATGGCTATTATCCATGCGGACAAAGACCCGGAGATCATCCTGCTTCTTCTTCAGTTGGTTGGCAGTGATAAGGGTGCCAGGCTGCGTTTTCTTCATGGTAGTGTTGACTGTCCATGGATGCTGTCGTTGGCCAGAGGAGACAGCTTGGGCAAAGGTCATGATGGGCTTCCCTGTCCCTATCCCGCCAGGAGTGGTCTTTCTTTTGGGCAGATCTCGGGTTTCCAGCCACTCATTCAGGCATTTGGAAAAGAAAGTGCTGAACTCCTTGGCATGAGAGTATAGTTCGGTTCCAGCTTTTTCCAGTGTCTTATCGACTGCTGCAGCACACTCCTGAAACATTGTCATCCTGGCTTCATAGAGATGCTTGTCTTTAGCCAGTATTTTGGCAACTTGGTCCTGGCACTTTGAGGAAAAGACCTTGTTCCCTGTATCGCCTCCAATAGCTTGGTCTGTAGAGATTTCGTTTGATTGAGGTACTTCCATATCAATGATGCTGCTAGTATTAATATTTCGGGATTTTCCTTTCAGAGGGGAAACAATGGTGAAGTCAGCCTCAGAGACCTGTGACGGGCTGCTGTTGATGTCGTCGAGCAGTGCCTGGCGGAGCTTGCTTGGGGTTGCCGGGCCATATGTTCTTTTAGGGACCGGGGATTTGAGCACGCCGCCAGTAGTCGTCTTTGGGACGGCCACTGGCGTATTTGGGGGCCTATCGTGAAGGGGTGCCATCCAGCTTGTGAGAAAATTTTTCTGCGCCTTGGCAAGGATAGTCAGGTACTGAAATAAATGCCTGTTTTAGTGCAGATATAGAGGTTGCGCCCTAACAGCGGGGCGCCAAGAAAAATAGTTGTTTTTGGTAAGAGTGTGGCCCATACAATCGATCAACAGGTACATCTCGTCTTGCCGACCAAAGACAATAGGACCCAACAGAGCGGAACGACCCGATACTAGTATTACCTCGTAGAGCAAGCCTTATCTCTCCGGCCATGTCAGATGAATTGACCCCAGGCAGACTGGAAATGTCCCTTGCAGCCAGCAACGCATCGGTACGACAATCTTCCTCTTTAGGTTAACTCAGCCAGTCTGATAAGACAGGCATAAAATAGTGTCGGACCGTCCTGTTCTGTCGGGTCAAGTCTTGCCCAGACATTGGTCCAACGGTCGCCCCGAAGACGCACCCGAGACGTCTACCCCGCTGCATTTGTACCTATAGGACAACGGTCCCTCATGGCTTGTGACGTGACGGGTTGGGTCTACTGTACAAACCAGCAAACGGGCTATCAGAAACAATAAAGCATAAGAGCTGGGCTGCAGGTCATCCTGTGCTCTGCATAGCATAGTCCTGATTTATGTGACGTTGTCCCCAGGCGAGTCTATCTATGATCCTGACTTCGGCAGAGTCTCTGCCAGTCTCCATTCTGCACAATTACTCCATACGAAAGCACCCTTGACCGCATATATTGGGACAGAATCGGAAGCTGAATGTTACTGTCCTGCTCCGAATGGTTACTTATTGGCTTGTAATCACCTCTGTAGTACGGCCGCATAATCCATCTATACATACATAAGTCGTTACGTCTCGTTGACTCCTTCTACCAACTTCCCCTACTTGTACTCGTATAGTCCAGCCAAGACGCAATGCGACACTTTCAACACCACCTCTGAACGTTCTCAACACGGCCCAGCGTATCATTCTGTAACATGGCCAGCCAGAACCAATACCCGCTACTGTCCCACCAGCCCCTCCGGCTTTTATTCCAACTGACCTACATTGGGTCTGTCGTTGTTTGCCTACCCTACTGGCTTTTTGTTGCTCTAAGTCAACCGTTTAGGCCCCACCCAAGATGGACCACGAAGCAGTCCTTTAAGACACGCGTCATGTATGCAATGTTGGACATGTCGTCTTGTGTTGGCATCACAGAAACACTGTCTCTCAAAGAGAGAAACGAAGGCAACCGGTTCCAAATCATCGACCCATCGCCCCCAGATGTCTACAAGGGACCGCTGGCATCGGTGGTCAAACCTCAGCCTGTAGGAGTGACGTGGTTCCCACGCGCACCCGACCCTAACATGGCTTCGCAACTTATTGGCCTTTACTTCCATGGTGGCGCCTTTGTTATGGGAGACGGCAGAACGGACTCATGCGGGTTTCTAGCAAAGCTCTTGCTTGATCACGGGGGTATCGACACTGTTCTCTCTCTCCAATACCGCTTGTCTGGCTATTCTGGGATCAATCCATTGCCGGCTGCATTACAGGACGCTGTCACAGCTTATCTATTTCTCGTTAACCAAGTGAGGATCCCTGGATATCGCATATTGATCTTGGGCGATAACGCAGGTGGCAATCTCATGATTGCCTTACTGCGGTATATCCAAGACTTCGGAGCCGGCCTCGGAATCCCCCACCCTGGCTGTGCGGTTTTGTTCTTGCTATGGGTGGCACCGCTCGACTATGATACTGCGAATCACCAAAACCACGGCACAGATTATCTGCCGATGTCTTTCTTGCGATGGGGAGCGCGGGCATACTCGGTAAATTTGACCGATGCCTCGTCTCGTCCATACATCACGCCATTAGGCAATCTGTTTACAACTCTAGTGCCGATTTTCGTAAACACGGGCTCAGCAGAGTTGTTTGTTAACGCGGATATTCAATGGGTAGAAGAGATAACAGGGGTGGATAGAAACGTGATCG